AGAAGCGAAGGCTTCCCACCACTCGCATCCATTCGTCTCGTAGCTAAACTGTCAGATGATGAATTGCATAAGCTGTCCTGTCTTCACAAAACCGCTGAAATGAAACTCAATACTTTTGGCCTCGTTAAAACTAAGCCAGAAACAACATATTATTTTTTAATTTTTTAAAAGTTTTTCGATTAAACTGCATATGCATATGCATATGCTATGCTAAAATTTGAAAGAAATCCCCTAATTTTATGTCATGTCGTTGGGCCTGTTTTGACTGACATCACGATTTTTTCACACTCAATAGTTGCTATACGTTGTTATAGTTTTAATTTTTTGACTAAGAGACTTAATTTTTCCAGTTTTGTCTAGCTTATTACTTTAACTTTAGGTAACCGTGCCGGCATTTTGAACATTAAAGTTCGTCTATCGTCAAAATCGACGAATAAATCTTATTTTTCATCAAAACTGGAAAGATTAAGCCTCCAAGTCGATAAATGATAACTTAATTATACAGGAATCGTTCGGTAAATTTCTAGAGAACGATTTTAGTCTGGTCATGCTGAAATGGAAGTCAAATCCCAAATTGTGTTCTTGATTCGTATGGATGATTACATTAATATGTTGCATTTCAGCCTTCTATCACAATGTTACCAAATCCAGTCTGTATAAAACTATTGTAAAATTGACCCCATTTTTTCGGCTATGGCTGCCGAAAAAGGCCACTTCGCCCAATGCGTACCCCATCCTCTATTGATTGCGGTTCTGAAATAAAAAACTAAATCAAAGTTAAGTTTTGAGAAAATGGCAAAATTGAGTGGTTTTTAGCCTTAAAAATTCGATGTGTTCCAGCTCAAAGTAGTCCAAAATTTTAGACACATGTTACACTTACTTTTAGCATTTAGAAGATATAAGGTAATGAGTTGGAATATGTATAACTCTGGTGGGTTCGGAGGAGGGAGAAATCAAGGAAATCAAGGTTTTAGAGGTGGATTTAATCCACAGCAGGTTGGTCCTTCAAAGAATTCTTAGCACAGCCAGNCCTAAACAATTTCCTGATTTGACGAAGTAAGTTAAACGCGCTAAGATATTAGCGAGCTCAATTAGCTTTAATTTTCAAATACTAGAAAGATAAAACTTTGTTTCCTGAATTCTCCCCCTGTAAGTTCATCATAATAGTTGAACCTATAAATGGCGTTAAATACAATCCATTTCTATCATTATATACATACATCCCCTTACATACTTACTGAGTGACCCTCCATGCAAAGATGGCAATGCCAGATTTACAACGGTACCCTTGACACCTTTGTCTAATCAAGTATGACTTAGTTATCCATTGTCCGTATTTTTGTTTCTTTAAACTGTTTATTTTCATTTGCAGTGCGCATTTCTTGCTTATATGAAGCAATGGTAATGTTAGTGTAAGGTTTCAAGGGGATTGTTGTAAATCGGGCATATCTCACTTTGCATGGAGGGTCACTTGAAATAACGCTTACAGTCCCTCTAAAAATTATCTATTTCAGGGTGATAGAAACGATTACTTTGTTAACGACGAGGTTGTTGGATCCGGAGGAGGAGGATACCAACGAAAAGCTCCGCCAGCCCATTCTGGTATCTGCCATTTCTATACCATATAGTCCATAAATTTTGGAGACCAGAATGTGACAAAGAATGGTTCTTATTTTTCTATACAATATTTCTTTAAATTTGTTCTTTGAATGTAGAATTTACATACTATTTTTCTTTAAAAGTATATCTTGTTGAAAAATTTGTTCCGTTGATATTGTCATTTTTGCTTCTGTTTTATCAAAGAAAATCTTTCAAAATTATTTTGAAATAAATTGATTGATTGATTGATTGATAATAATTTTGTGAGTAGGAAGTAACTTCAGTATGTATGGTGCCGGACGACAACACTTCACACCCCCTGATGCGCACACACCGGGCTTTCAAGGATTTCAAGGTCAAAAATTTATAAACTTGAATATAAAATCTGGGAATATAAATTATCGGGTTAAAAGTTCCAGAAAGGAAGAAACGTCAAACTTTAAAATTTGATCCCAAAATACTTCGAAATTTTATTATTTTTAATAATAAATACCATTGGATCCTCCTCTTTTTAAATTTAAATTTATGATAATAAAATTAAATTTTCAGTATATCTTTATTTTGATAAATTTAGGATATGGACAGTATGGATATACTGGGGCAGGATATAATACCTGGAACTATAATCAAGGAAATAGCTCCCTTGGGAAACGTAACTTTAATACCAGGTATACATAGTTCACCTTTAAACTGTAGACCATTGAACTGTAGACTGTTACCTTTGACTATCACCGTTGATTATAGATTGGTAACCAATAACCGTACACTGTCGACTGCTGACCGTGGACCTTAGAATGTCGACTTTTGACTGTTGACAGTAGACTGTTTACCATAAATTGTTGACTAGACTGTGGATCGTAAACCGTTGACCGTAGACTGTTAAACGTAACCTCTAGGTCTTAGATTGTTGACCTTAGACTGTTGACCGTAGACTGTTGACTGTAGACAATTGACCGTAGACTGTTGACCGCTAAACTGGTAGCGATACAGAGCTCAGACCAGTGAACTGAAAAACAATCAATCAGTAACGGTTAGAATAACTACTAAAATATAAATCAAAATTTGTTACATGATTTTTAATAAGCTCAGTGTATAAAATTAGCCGAGTTTAAATGAAAATTTGCTCCAGGTGTGCTAAGTGTAAACATATTATAACAATATATGATGAATTAAATTAACACTTTATTAGGCCGGAGAATTTAATAGCTCTAGAGTTGGATGATCTTAACACAGAATAGTTTATAAAGATCACCAGATCTTACACGGTGAATGATGACTGTAACTTAAAACTGTTTAGATCAAGTTCCGACGAAGAAAAGGTTAAGGAGAAGGAGGAACACTGTTGACTGTTGACTATTGACCTTAGACTGTTGACCATAGGCTGTTGACCTTAGACTGTTGACCGTAGACTGTTGACCGTAGACTGTTGACTGTAGACAATTGACCGTAGACTGTTGACCGTAGAATGTTGACAGCTAAACTGGTAGCGATACAGAGCTCAGACCTGTGAACTGAAAAACAATCAATCAGTCACGGGTTAGAATAACTATTAAAATATAAATCAAAATTGGTTACATGATTTTTAATAAGCTCAGTGTATAAAATTAGCCAAGTTTAAATGAAAATGTAAACATATTATAACAATATGTGATAAATTAAAATAACACTTTATTAGGCCGGAGAATTTAAAAGCTCTAGAGTTGGATGATCTTAACACAGAATAGTTTAGAAAGATCACCAGATCTTACACGGTGACTGATGACTGTAACTTAATACTGTTTAGATCAAGTTCCGACGAAGAAAAGGTTAAGGAGAAGGAGGAACAGGGGAAAGAGAAGGAGACCTCCAAGGAAACGGAGGTTGAAAACCGGAACAAGGATAAGAAAGAGGTAGGGAAAGTTTTGTCCCAGAATGACACAAAAAAAAATTGCCGAGTATAAATTTCATGCCCTTTGGTTAGACAATACCTTTTTGCATTAAGGAGAGCTCAACCTCGATTTGTTTTACTGAACAAATTTTATATCTTGATTTTTTATTATAATTATTTGCGCAGAAATTAGGACCCCTATTATTTCCAGGATAAAACTTCCCTGCAAGAGAGCAGAACTTCTGAACCAAATCAAGACAATAGTTCTGGAACTCAACCTTCTTCAAGAATATCCTGCCAGACTGGCACAAGTTTATCAACACCAGCCTCTAGCTGTAGTTTGTCTACCCCTATAAACTCAAGTCCACCAGCTCAAACCAACAGCCGTAGGAAACAGTACACACCACAGAAGGTTCCCGTTGGACCAGGTATTTTTAATCTTCTCCGTCAAAAATATAAATAAAAAAATTACCCAATAGTTCCACCCGGGAGGGTAGGGGGACGGGATAAATATTTTTTGTTGCTTTTAAAACAAGAACAAAAAATTTAATTCAACTAAAAAATTATCGTCAATCAGCCATGATTTTTGTATTTTGGTTATAAAATTTCTGCCTTAAGGTGGTGGAACGATGAGCATAATTACACAGAAGGGTCTAATTTTGGACCAGGAGAAGGACGCAAGGTAAAATAACCCCCTCTAGGAAATCTTTCTTTTTTAATGTTATTTTTTTTGCACCAGAAGAAAATTGAATACCAGGATTAAATCAAATACCGGTGATAACTGAACCCAAGTATCATAAAACGCCCAAAATATAAAAACCTTTTTTTTCAAACTTATCATTAATTTCTTTGAAAAGGACGGTAGGTTGGGAACAAGTTTTTGAACACCATTGAAACTTTTGCTAAAGTTTTCAATGGAAGCAATGGAGAAAAAAAATGGCTCCTTTCCGACCTAATTATTCTGATAATTGTTCTAATAATTGTATGTTTTAGTGTACCCGAGATATCTGTAACTCCAGCTAAACTCTCAGAGATCAGCTCGGTGCCGTCGGAGAAGAAAACTCACACAGCTGAGATCGTCCATGGGACGACGGAGAAGAACAGGGGAACAGAAGAAGCTGTCACTGGGACGACAGAGAAAAAGACGATCAGTTCAGAAGGAGATTTGGCGGATAAGGTTTTAACATTTGATGCCACTTTGGACTTGACTAGACTTAGCTAATGCATGATTTTTGAGTTTCTTCTAGACTATATTTTATTAATTTCTGTAGAATGTAGAAGGTAGTGCTTGATTTTAAGATACATTAGCATAGTTTTTTATTTTGATTGAATAGGGCTGTATATTGTATATCCCCCCCCCTCTCTTAAATATATAGAGTTCTTATTAAATATTTCAACTTTTATGTCTAATTTTGGAATATATGCATCCCTCAGATTAATTGTTCTCGAAATACTAACAAGCATGTTTTGTAGATTGTTTTAGAATTGGTATGCAGTAAGGACAAGAAAACTGTGAAATAAATGTCGTCATTTTTAAATTTTTTTTTAATTAGTTACAATCTACAAAATACATTTCCAGGAATATATTTTTTATCCAGAAATTCATATTTCCATAAAAAAACATTTATGTTTACAATTTCAATCCCTATTCAGTGAATACAGTGAATATTACAATCTACAAAATACTTAGCGACATTTTAGGAATATATCTTTTATTCAGAAATTCTTATTACCCTATAAAACATTTATTTTTACAATTGAGCGAAAAAAAACGTGATTTTCAAAGACGGGGGTTGTATTTTTCAAAGAAAATATACACTCCTGGACATTTTATAACTTTTATTCCACTGTTTTCTATTGAAGCCTTCTAGTTTTACATACCTCACTAAAAAGCTATTTTGTCCTGTTTGACTAAAAAATATCTAAAACTGGTTCCTTTCTCTACTTATTGTATCAAGGACACTGATGACGATGTGACCATGTTCAAACAAAAAGTTCGCAAGAAACGCATGTGTAAACTGGAAATTAAGGTTTGATACTTTATCAACCGACCTAAGGGAAATGAACCAAAGGTGTCCACGTATTTCATGTCTTTCTAACCTATTTAGCATGTCTAATTCCTGTTAAACTAACTTAAAGGGTTTGTCGACGTAACTACAATTGTGACATTCCATTTAAGTGTTTCACAAACTCGATTTACAACACATAAATCTTTATTTGAATAACAATGAAGAAGATATCGCTGTTACATAATCTTTAAGGAGAAAGCATTGACAATTCATGGCTTGTCTCCGCTGCTTCATTTCGCAAGTTATTTAAAGAAAGAAATAACTGATTTTCAGGAAGAATCTCAAAAATATTTTCTAAAGTTTTGCTCAGATAAAGGTTTTGGTGATGGGTAACTTAAAATTACTTAAAATGGGTCACTAACGTACGTTATAGTTCCTTTAAGATGTAATCCATATTAAGTTTGAACCCCCCCCCCCCCCCCCCCTACCAGGGGAGTATATCCTTACTCCCCCCCTCAGGGGGAGGGTAGAATTCAGCCCAGGGAAGAAAATTCAAGGAAAGAGAGAAAAAAGAAAAGAACAAAAGGGAGGAAAGGGAAGAAAAAAAACATAATACTATCGCTGTATTAACTTCCAGTCTGGGGAAGAAAATTTATTTCTGAATGGTGAAAGAATTACTTTCCCCAGTTTTTATGGAAATAAAAAACCATGGTTTCCCAAAAAATATTTAAAAGTTTCCCTATCATGTCTATGGGGAAAAGAAATCAGATATTTAAAAATATTTTCATACATTTCCTTTATACTGAGAACTGAGTCTCATTTCCCAATTGTATTTTAAGTTCTAATGGAAGAGAATTCAAAGAATCTTTAAGAACTTTTATTGCAGTGAAGGCATTAACTGCTTGAAGTTATAGACAGCTTAGTGTCAAACAAGATTTTTTCAAAATTTTTAAATTATCATTATTTTTCATCAGCTAGTTTTTGCTCACACAAGAAACTATGCAAAACCTTTTTGAGAAAAGGTATCATTTTTTTCCATAATATAAATATCATGTTTTGCCCCCATTTAAAAAGCTTAAATAATTTTAAAAATCTCAGAAGGGGCCTGGTTTTTGACATTGTTAGGGCACCAAAACACTACATTGTACAACCAAAATGCAAAAAGATTTCTCCTCCAGGGGGCGCTGCCCCCTATGCAACCCCCCCCACCCCCACCCCAGCAAACTTATCTTGGTTGTCACTTTGGGGGGAACACACACCCCTGGTCCTGGGTAAAAAATGTGGGAAAAATAACTAGTTGACGTAAATTATAGATAACAATTAAGGTAAGTAACGCTAAATTACCTAAATTTGATAAAATAGGTGATTTAGTGGCAATAATAGCTAGTTTGTGATAAAAAGCAGATAAAAACGTTCCCCTTCGGAACAATAATGCCAGGGGGGGGGGGAACAATTCAACTTCTTGTAATAATAAACTTCCCTGCCCCCTACATGTAATCTATATCAGTTGATAAGGTTCATGAGGTTTAAACTTCAAATCAATCGCAAACAAATGTCAACGATCAATTGAAAAATTGATAAATTTTTTTCAAGGTTGAGAGTGATAGTGATGAGGGAAAGGTAGATCTTAAATCATCGCCTTCGAAAACAAGGTAATTGAGATATTTCTTAGGATTTTCCCAACACAAACAACTTGCAATATGTTCGGCCATTTTAAGTGCAATATTTTATTTATTTTATTTTCCCATTATCTATCTGCAGGGTGCAGCTTTGCGCCCTGAAGGCAGTCTGGGGGTTCCATTTTGGGTTCCCTTTCAGATCTCTACTTGATTTGGTTTGGTTTGGTTTGATTTGGTTTGGTTTGGTTTGGTTTGGTTTGGTTTGGTTTGGTTAGATTTGATTTGATTTGGTTTGATTTGGTTTGATTTGGTTTGATTTGATTTGATTTGATTTGATTTGATTTGATTTGATTTGATTTGATTTGATTTGATTTGATTTGATTTGATTTGATTTGATTTGATTTGATTTGATTTGATTTGATTTGATTTGATTTGATTTGATTTGATTTGATTTGATTTGATTTGATTTGATTTGATTTGATTTGATTTGATTTGATTTGATTTGATTCGATTTGATTCGATTTGATTTGATTCGATTCGATTCGATCTGATTTGAATTCATTATACCTTAAATATTAGGGAACGTATTACTCAAGAAAATTAGAAAATTTTGTGAGAGAGAATGCTACGTTTTTATTGTCAAAAAGATATAATTTGTTGGATATTTAGTTTTATGAAACTCAATATTTCCAGGTCCGGTGGGAAGTCTCCTCGCCAATCTAAGCCTCAGCTTCCAACCTTGAACCTCGACCAGGAGGCTGTATCCTCCGAATCCAGATCTACAGAAGATAGGTAAGTTAAAGAGGGTTGTAACAAAATTTAGCTTGAACCTCCATTAAAAATTACAATCAAACGATTCACAGCGTAAAGCTTATAAATCTTTTCTAAGCATCTTTTTACTCTGAATATTGATGAGTGCAGTGCAAAGGTTCTGTTTCTCAAACTCTTTTTTTCAAATTCCTGAAAGAAAAGCGCTGAGTTCTAGTCAAGAGTAAATGACATTCCTTAATAAAGAACTGGTCTTAACATAGACCTGCATAATAAGTTTTTATATTAGCGGAATTCAATGAAAATTGTTGCTAACCAAAAAATCAGCTTCTCATGTTTCGTAAAAATTACGCCGGCAACCCTTTCATTTTCTATGATGACTCAAATAGCCCACTTTTCAGAATAAGATTGAAATCGAATCAATTTTTACATGTTTCAGGGAAGCTGACATGTTGGAAAACCCTGTGATTCCAAAACTTCGAGAGGATTTAGATACTCCGCAGCGGAGACGATCTAAAGGGGAAATGAAGGTAAACATGAAATTAATCCAGCCGTTGCTGATCAAAAACCTTACCTTTCTGTTAGGCATATATAACTATCAACCAATTAATCAATTAAATCTAGTCAGAGCTGAAAACTTTAGAATGGGATAGCCTTAATCCCGATCTGTTAATTAATCTGGAGATTTAAAACAAGAAGGAACAATCATAATTTAACTTGGAGATTAAGAAAAAGAATGGATCAAGCATTAATCCCGATATCCGCCATTCAAAAGTTCCCAGCTCAGATCGAAGAATTTTGTCCTTTTTGACTTAGATCTGAAAGCTGATAATATCTAGATTTTGATATTTTCATAATTTTTCATTGTAAAATAAAGCATAATGCAGTCCTGAAAAAAAGCTTAGTTTAGTTAAATAAATCGATCATAAGAAGTTTCTTGCTTTCTCCTGTTAGTAAGATAGCTCAAAATTTAATGCATGTATGTTTGAATTTTATAAAAGGTTGGGGCTCTGTTTGTTTTTTATTGGTATCCATTTTTATTACTAGACTTTTAGGGCGCCCATCTTCGTTTTCAACTTTTAGTATAAAATTTAAAAAAAAGATTTGCGGATTTCATAATATTTTTTGCATTTTCAAAATTTTACAAAATTAAATGATACAAAATAAAAATATTTTAAGATTACATATTTAAAGTCTGATTGGCCATAAACCTTCCCTGGGGCCACGTGAGGTCCCACGCAAAATTTGGGCCTGATCAGTTCAGCCGTTTTGACGTTTATTGGATACAAACAAACAGACAAACAAATAAACAGACACCCAGACGAGCTAATAAAAGTTCTTTTAATTTTTGTTTTTTGAAATTTTTGTTTCGTTCCAAACTGAAAGATAAATCCCATCATTAGGCGTTTCCTGGCGAACAGAAAACAGCCCCTGAACCAGTATTAGATTCGAAACCTCTCACAATCCAATCTCCAGCAGATATCGAGGTTAAACCTAAGAAAGGTCAGATTTATCAGAGTATTTTTACATTATGTGCCATGTCAATTAAAGTTTTTGTGATAAGTAATATTAGATCCAAGTAATCTTTTGGTCCGTGGGATGCATTGCATTGGGACCGAGCAACTCTACTAAGATACTTGTGATGTTGTAACAAATTTTGTTAAGTTAAAAGGATATTAAAAGAGAAATGTTGTCCTTGAAATAAATTTGTTTGAGTTTATTATTAAAAAAAAAAAAAAATTTACACTTTCAGTTGATGAAACATTAGAGAAAACTTCTGAACCATCAGAAACTCCTCGAAGAACAGGTACAATTCAAAACTATATGATTTTTTATTTTGAAATTACAGCCCCCTCTCTAAAAAATATCGCAACAATCTTGTTTTTTGTAAAAAGATACTCCCTCAAGGAGTAGTTCGTAATGCACAACAACTCTCACGATTATCTAATTTTCTTGTATTGTTAGGTAGAAGAAAAGATGCGAAGACTCCAGAGATCCCTAATGTTGTCAAAGATAAAACCAAGAAAGAAGTTTTTAAACAAGTGGAAGAAGATATGGAAGCTATGTTTGCAGGTTACTTTATTTTTTGAAAAATGTATTTTTGTTTTCATTAAAATAATAATACATTCAGGAATTAGCTCTCCTGAAAAGTCGGCCCCCCCTGAACCTGAAATTGAGCCACAACCTGAGCCTGAGCGAAAATCTCCGAGGTCAAAACGAAAATCAGCTCAAACTGCAGAATTGAAAATCCGGGAAAACCAGTCCGAGGACTACAATCTTTTCCAGTCTCCAATAAAACCAAAACCACTAAAGGAAACCCCCAAATCCGCCAAAGAATTTAACACAACAACAAAACCGGTTCCAAACAGTTTTGTTAGTCCTAGAAGTAAACGATTAAGTGCCATGACTAAAGTTGAAGTTCCAGTAATGAATACAGAAGTAGAAACAAAGGAGGAAAAAGAGTCCAATGATTCTAAGGATGACAAAGAATCCAAAAAGAACTGTTCAACTGAAAAGATAGTTCCAGCAAAGTCATCTGTATCTAATACTAAACCTAAGAGGACTGCTAGCAAACCTCTTCAGTATAGGTTAGTGGATGAAACTGCTGTATCTGAAGACAGCGTAGATCCTACCGATATACCTGAAGTTAAATCCCTGGAAGGGGGCAGAAGATCAAGGAGATCTAGAGGTTCTGTAAGTGATCCAGTAACTCCTGCAAAAGGTATCCACATTTTTTAATTGATTTTTTTTTGGTGGAAAAAAATCAAAATTGGTACGTTTTTCGTCTTTTCTATTTTCTTTACTTTTTCCTTTTTCACCTTAAAATAATTTATTTGTTTATTTTACAAATATTTTTTTTGAGATCTTTTCAATTAGAAAAAAATGCATTAAAGTTTAGAAGTACAGGAAATGGGTAGTACTAGTAAAAGATCTTGCAGAAAACCATGAGTTTATCACTCTTTGAAACTTTTTATAAGTTTAACTTTCTATGATATCTTATCTTTTAAACTTTTAGATGCTGATTCTAAACCTGATGTCATTGAGAAAACTCCTGAAGGTATTTTGAAAAGAAAAACATTTTCTTTTTATTTTGAAATAAAATTTTGAGTTAGGGGTTTCCTTGGACGTTATCTATATATATAAAGTTGTAATCTCTGTTTTTCTGTTTGTTTGCCCGATCCTAACTCAGGAACCCACTGTCCGATTCGCCTTAAATTTTGATTGGGGAACTTGGGAGAACCACAGGAATGTTCTTAACTTAGTTTTAGGAAACTCGATAGAACCATAAAATATTATTGGCTTTATTTTGAAAGTCCAAGTTGAGTGAGTTAACTTTTAAAGAAAAAATGTTAAGTCGGGTTCCCAAGCTATAATATTATATTTTCATGATATACTTTCAGTTCGTTTGACAAGGAAGAGAATGGCCTCTGTATCTCTGGATGAGTCGGATGAGTCTGGTACCCCAGCTACCCCGGCTCCAGTCAAGAAATCAAAACGTCTGAGCAGTACGCCGCAGGTTGGAGTTAAGATGATCTACTTTCGTATTTTTCTTCATGATCCCCTTGACTTAAATGAAAAGTCGAAAATTGGAGTAATTAGTTTTCAGTGCTTGATAGTTGATACTTTTGGTATAAAAGCATACCAATTTTATTTCAGGGGGTCCAACAAATGTTGATATCTTGTTATTCTGAATATAATATTCATGCTTTATAAAAGAAAATGCAACAGAGTGTGCATTTTTCTAAGAATATCTAAATCATTTAAAAAAGGGATTAAATCATGAAAATATTTACTGACTACTGAGCTTAACGTATTTTCTCTTCGAATCCCATCAAAATCAGATTTATATACTTTTAGACCCCTGCACTTTTTAAATCATGAAAATTACAATTTTCAGGAAGCAGAGGTTGTCCAGGGAGATGCTACAACCCAGGATGTCTCGACCCAGAAGAAAACTCTTGAAAGGACTCTCTCAGAATCAGAATCTAAAGAGGAATTTCATCAATCTAGAACTACAGACAGCTTGGGTAGATCAGCCCTGGGGCCACCAGAAATACAAATTATTGAAAAAGGTATCAAATGATACTTTTAAGTGACCCTCCATGTAAAGATGGCAAATTTGATTTACAATGATACCCTGAAAAGCTTTTTCTGATCAAGTGTAAATTATAAATCCATGTTAATAATTTTGAAATTCTTTGAATTTTAGGTTCTTTACAAAAGTAACTTGCGTATTTCTGCTGCAGGAAAAAACATTTGTCTAGCTAAAAATAACGACATTATTTCACATTATTGATTGAACGGATTTTAGGAATTGTTCTATTGATGACGGTCGGCGGGATCGGGGGATCTTTTATGGTCAATACTATATTTAATTTAATTTATTTGATCATATAAAGGTTTCAAGGCGAAATGTGAATCGGCTTTTAGTGATGTATTTGTAGTGAAGTATTTTAGATTATGGCAGGAGGTTCATTAAACATTAAAATGGAGTACTACCGAATGAGGAATATAATTATTTTTTTAAAAAATCTGAACATTTTATTTTAAAAATGATTTGTTCATTGAAATATTGGATGGAATGTCCGTTTGACCAATTGACTGATAATTAATTTACTGACAGTGATCTATTTCTAATCATGGCCTATTTCACGAGATAGCCCGATCACTGAATGGCTTGGTTACTGGCAGAAGTGTTTATTTTCTCTAAATATTATTCCCCTACCCACCTTCTTAATAAAGAATTTTATCCCCTTTGTCTTAAAAATTTCTAACGTTTTTTTCGCTGAATTAAGAAAGGGGGGATTAATCTTTTTTTGGGAGGGGAAGTATCGAAATGAGGGGGAGCCTCGGCTGGCTAACTAAATTCCATTCATTTTTATCTCTGAATGTTAATAAAAAATCTTCTTCCTGCCGCTCGGGTAGAACTTGTACTAAATATATAACCCTGATCAATTAAATTTCTATTTTCTAGACGTTGCCGAGAGTTGTAAAAAGAAAGTTAAACTTGCGCCATCAAAGCAGAAGCATAATGAAGAAAAGAAGAGAGGGAAGAGGGTTGAGGAAGACCCTGCTGAGAAGCTGAAGAAGATCGGGAAGGGTCGGGGGGAGAGAAAGGGTCCATATGTACACATTGAAGGAGATTTTAGATCTCCGAGAACCGTGGTTGTGGTCAACTCAGCATCAGATGGTGCGGAGTCGAAACAAAAGTAGGAACACATTTTTTTATTTTGATTCTTTTATCAGAGGCTGGAACTTTAATTTTGACTTAATTCTATAATAAACACTTTTAAATTCTGCTTGCATTATAATATCCTTGAATGTTAAGGTCTTATCAAGTTTGAATTTCTTGCAGATTTCAATTCCTTATGATTCCTTAATCCTTAAAGGGGCTTTGAGTCCTGACAAGTTTGATTTTTCAAGGTTTTTTACCAGTCTGTTTGAGCGTTTTGTACCTTTTCACTTTGGTGTCGTACATTTTTCCATTCCAAGGAAGGTCATAATACAAATATCGTGCCTGGATAAAAATGTAGTTTTTATTTTTAAATTTTAGAATTCCATTAATGTTAACAGAAAAATCCTCGAAATTTGGAGTTTTACAATAATGATAAAAATATGAAAATAAGGAACTTGAAAAGCAACATTTAAATACGTTAAAATTGCTATTAGAATATCGCCGAGTAACAATATATATCATAACACAATGTCTGTTATCTCTCTGTGTGTATCCAAAAAACGTCGAAACAGTCAAACCGATTCGGCCTAAACTTTTGTGGTAACTCACGTGACCCTGTAGAAATGTTATTGACGGTTCGAAATAAAAAGAATTGTCTCATAGAATTTTTTTATTTTTAAAAATCATGGAAATTAGCGATTTAAAACAGTAAAATATGCAAAATCTTATGATGTTGTGTGTCTCTATAGTGTATGAAAATTGAAAAATAATGGGTTCCATTTCTTCGAATAGTTTTTAAGTCTACTTCTGAATTTTTAAAATTAACAAAAGCTTTTTTGCTCAGAGGAAAACGAGGAATTATTGATGCAGAACATAGAGCCAGAACAGCTAACTTTGGTCATGTATCCGTTCACAGGTATTTACATTTTACTTGGTAGTCTGTTTACTTTTTGCAGTACGTTTATCAGTGTTAAAATAACTTCAAAATTATATTTTTCAAGCACTATTTTGGAGTATATGTTTTCTTTAGAACCCATCAAAAAAAAATAAGATGAATTAATTTTTTAAAATATTTTAGTAAACAGTATGACTACAAGACAGTGGATGACACCTGGAGATGTATATTCTGCCAGCAAAAGAGTCATTACCGTGGTCTAGGAGACCTATTCGGTCCATACTTTATTCCCTCAGCTTGTATTAAACCTGACACCTTGGAAAAGAAAAACAGACCTAAACGAAAATCACTAACTTCAGGTTATAAACTTTTCATATTGTTAATAATTTTCTGTAAAATTGTATTCCTTCCTCCTTCAAAATGTTTCTATTCAAAATACGTTGGAAAGTAAACATTTCTGTCTTTTATGCCATGAGGGAAATAGATGATTTCGTTGGGGAAATTACTGAATTTCAAGAATAAGTCTTGAAAAAAATGTTATATTGTTTGTTTTCGGGGGAAAAAATCATTTTTGTTTTTTTATTGTTTTCCTCCTAAAATAATGTTCATTTAATATTGACGAATAAATATTTGTGAAGAGGATGGAGGGGAGGCGGAGATATGGTTCCATGAGGATTGTTTCTGCTGGGTTCCTGGAGTATTCTTAGTAGGTTCCAGGTAACATCCCACCCCAACCCCCATCCTATAAGTACAAGGGTAAAATCATTTTTGTGGATAGGGTGGGCAAGCGATTTATTATGGTGCACTTAGTCACATGACCAGTTAGAGTTGTACAGATTAAATTTGTTTTATTTAGTTTTGGGTGATTGATTCATTGATTGCTTGTTTGATTGATTAATTATTTATTTACTTGATTGATTGATTGATTGATTAATTGATCATTTGATTTTTTTTTAGTTAGTTTATTGGTTGACTGATTGCTTGATTGATTGTTTGAATGGTTGGTTCGTTGATTGATTGATTGATCGACTAGTTGATTGGTTGATTGATTGCTTGATCATTTAAATGGTTTGTTGGTAAAATAATTGATTGGATGATTCATTGATTGGTTGATTGATATTGATTGATTGATTGATTCATTGATTGATTCATTGATTGATTCATTTATTGATCCATTGATTGATTCATTGATTGAGTCATTGATTGATTCATTGATTGATTCATTGATTGATTCATTGATTGATTGAATCATTAATACATTGATTTGTTCAGGATTATGGGTATGGATGAAGCTGTATCTCTGTGTAGAGAGACAAAGTGTACCGTGTGTAAGGAACCTGGCGCCAGTTTAGGCTGCACCAGGTCTATTTAAATACATATTTAAGGGCTTGTTCATACATTTAAAGGGAGTGTATGCTAGACATGGTAGTTCAGCTGAGAGTGCAGGATTGTAAAGGAATTTTTGAGAAATCATTTGAGACCTATTAGACGTTTGTACGGTGTATAGTTGCCAAATAAGAGCGCAAAATCTATCTTTAAAATCCACCTGGCGCTCGCACACAGTCAGGTTGTGGGGCGGCACGCTCTGCTCAACTACCATCATACCACGTCTAGCCAGAAACTTCTTTTAAGCATGGGAGGGGGGTGGATACACTTTAAAAAGTTTGGCATCACGCTACTATTAGTACTATTATTGAACCCTGTGCTAAAAAACCCTGAGGTTAGAACAGTTGTATGAAATAGTTCTATATTGTCTGATTCTTCATGTCAACAGTGGAATCTTAAAAATTAAGCAATTAAGGGACTAACTTCCTAATACTCTGATTTGATTGAGGGCAGATCTTTATTGCTTCTGATGGACGAATGTTTCAAGCAAGGACAGCTTTTACTGGTGTAATCAATTAATCATTTAGAAAAGGAATCAATTAAATAAAAAGATACGCACTCATGCTTTCTGAAAGGATAAACATCACAAGACTTCCATAAATCATCTCATGTTTCGCTGTTAATCATTTTTAAATTGAGTTACCCAAAAACTATTTTTAGAACCAGCTGTAGAACTGCAGTTCATGTCCCTTGTTCCCTTGACCAACCCTGGCAAACTGATATATTCGCTGCCAGTGCAACATGCCCAACCTGTGTAAAAACATTATAACCTTCAATTAATCACTCATAATAATCTCATCTGATAATGTATCATTTGTTGAAATTGTAAGCTGTTAGCAATCTCATGTTGTAGCTCATTTTTAAAATATTTCAGATAAAGATGGTGAAACCAGCTGTATATACAGTGGGGTCAACTTGTCTAGCTAAAGTTAGAGGCTATCCCCCCTGGCCAGCAATCGTGAAAGATATACAACCAGGTACAGGTACAACTGTGAATTGCATGCAGCAGATACTAGAATGGAAATATCATTGAAATGGAAACTGTTAAGGTTAAAATTGTAAGGTTCGTTTAATTAAAGTTAGAATTTCGCTACAGTGAAGAACCAGTAAGAAAACATTACAGTGTATTTGATGTTGTTACACAGCAACAAATTTTAATTAGTAACTTATTAAATCAGTTAAATGACTCGGCTTCAGTCTAAAATGTCGTTTTCTTATGTCAGAGTTTTCTGGTTATCATGCTGCATGAATATTATAAGATAAAAGATTAAGTTTAAATTCAATTTTCCTAGAATTTGAGACTGCAATGTTAGTCAAGTTCAGTTTCTGTTTATTGTATGTTTATTTAAATTGAACTTCTTTTTGTTGAACAGAATTGCGCAATAGTTAATTACCATTAGGTTTCAAATCAAATATTATCAATAAATTTAAACACAAACGCAAGAAAGTTGGACGGAATTTCGCGCTATAGCGCGCAATCATGGCGGAATTGTGCGCAATTAAATTCACTTGCGCGTAAAGGCTCGAAATTCCGCGCAAGTAAAATCCACTTGCGTTGGAAACCCTACTCGCAGCCATGTAGTAGACTAAATAGTAGATATAGGTAAGGCTATATGAACTGCATCTCTTGTGCACGGTTGCACGTTTGCAGCTATAATAGATTGAAAAACTTTTTAATAGCACTTTCTAAATTCCGACATATCTGAACGTTAAAAAGTCTTTTCTTTTATTTAAAAAGAGGTTTAATTTAAATCTTTAAGAATAAACTTTGATTTAATCTTAACAATTTGTTCAGGGTTTAATGGCCCAAGGTATGTCCTTTACTTCTGTGGTTCTAAAGAGAGCGCAACTCTATCACTTCAAAACTTATATCAGGTATGAACCATTTTTTGCATTAGGAAATACTTAAGCGCTTTTATTTAGAATAACAGGGCTAAATTTCATAGTTTATGAAAGATTCTTGATACGTAGAAATATTTGAAAATGTTTGAACCAACCCTGTTCATCCAGAGCTGAAAACTCTTGGTTTGGATACCCTTAATCCCGATTGCTAAATCTCTGTATCTACTGTCGACACATTTTTTATTTATTTTTTTATTTTTTATGAATCTTTTATTCGCAAACAACTTGTTTTTCAGTATTTTTGGAATATTTCTTCAGTATTTAGTCCCGAAATCTTAAACTAGAACTGAACCCTGAATAAAAGTCGACAAACTAAACTTAAATTCTGAAAACCGAACTAAAAACATTACCGTGCTTCTAGTTTATTAATTTTTAAGGGTTTTCTTGGCTGACCTGGATAAAGTAGATGATTATTATACGGAAATTAATGCATATTTGGTGGAAAATTATCATTAAGGATTAAAAACATGCCTTGTGATGTCCAATTTTTCATTTAATTCCTCCAAATTATTTTTGCGGGTTGTAATTCTTAAAATTATACACCCCTTTATTTAGTTGAACTGGCTGTTTGTTAAACAAAATCTTGCTCATTTCAAAATCTTATAATAATTACCTTAATCTTAATCAAAAGCCTCAGTCTGTTTTTTTGTAGAGATTTAAAGTAATTACTGTTAAGGCAACTGATGTGAATTTGACCAAGTTTTGTACAGAGTCTGCTCATAAACGAAAATTCTTCTCAGAGGGAATTCAAGAGATGTTGGCAGTAAGGTAAATATTGGTTTGGTTTGGTTTAGTTTGATTGGATTGGATTGGATTGGATTGGATTGGATTGGATTGGATTGGATTGGATTGGATTGGATTGGATTGGATAAGAAGTAAGTTGGTGGAGAGCAGGGAAAGGGAAAGAGAAGGGAAATGGGGGAGAGAAGGGAAGAAAAGGAAAAGGGGTGAGGAAAGGAAAGTTTGCGAGTAAAGGAAAATTTCCTGCTCTACTTTTATTTTCTCATTTATAATATTAAGGGATGGAGAAGATATAAAAAAGAAGAATTCACAGGAAACTTCTAAAACTATGGTTGATCTTGAAGGTGAGTTTTAAAACTTGGACGGATCTGTAGAATCGTTAACAGTTTCTTAATAATAAAAAGCTTTTTATGATCAAGACCGAGTGAGATACCCAATCCATGTTTAGAATTAATTATTTTTATTAGTGGTTTCAATATTTCTTCTGCAGTTCTTTAATAAAGTTTGTCAAAATTACACACTTAAAAAATTGCAATTTCAAATTTATAAAAACGAATCTACAGAATCATAAACAGTCCCTTTATATTCCCAATATTTAGTGCGACCAGGTTCCTCTAGTTCCCGGCGTGATGTTGAGGTTGTAGATGAAAAGGTTCTGGAGGGAGATCATACTGTCCTGGAGATGGTGCAAACAGGGGTATTTATTTATTAGCAATCAGCAATAATGCATTGCTTCCTCAACCTTGTCCATACAATTATTTATGTTTACCGCAAAACATTTTTTCCAGAGAGGATCAAATTTAGGGATTACTTTTTTTATTTTTCTGCTATTGGGTGATAAATACCAAATATAAGCCCTATTTGTTTAGAAAAAAAGAAAGAGTACTGAATTGTCCCAGCCCAACAAACAGCGAACTACTTCTAAAAGAAAACCATCAACCTCAGGTAATCTATATATAATAAACTTCTAAAGGGCCCGATGTTGCCCGTGGAAAAAATATTTGGAAAAGTTTGAGAAAAAAAAATTCGAATTTTTTTAGCCTTTAACAACCCCCCTGCCACCCATGAATGTACAGAAACAAAATCAGCCCGTTCGGTCCAGCCGTTTGGCCCACTATGGGCAACATATGTATGAATGTATTATTATTATTATATAGATATACTTTGCTTGTCTGGGTTTTGTTAGTTAGTATCCAATAAACGTCAAAACGACTGAACCAATTGAGCCCAAATTTGTCGTGGGACCAGCTCACAAGATCCCAGGGAAGGTTTATGGATGTTCAGAATTTCAAAAAGGTGTCTCCAAACTTAGAATTTTTTTACAGTGAGAGGAATAAAAGTTTCAGCGTGGCCGCAATATTTCAACCCCCCCCCCCCAAATATTAAGCTGCCACTGGGTCAGGTCGTTATTGCAGTTCCTTCCTGTGTGGAAATCCTTTCTAATAATAAATTATTTGTCAGGTATTCCTAAACTGAACCCTGCTCCAAAAGATCCCTACATGAGGGTTGTTTCATCAGTTACTCCGTCAAGGAGACTTGTACAGCGTAGATCCAAGGTACCTAAAGTCACACAGTTTTTAAACAGTTTCCGGGGGATTTGTGTATTAATGCATTGCATGCCTGATTCACAATGGTACACTTTAAACCTTTGGCTGAGCAGGACTGATCAAGATATCCTGGCTTTCTTGTCTAAAAAGTTGAAAATTTAAAATTTTGTTTCCTCTTTTTAAGTGACTTGCAGAATTAAGGGAAGATAAGACTTTTTGTTATTAATAAATAAATGCAGAAGAAAGAAAGAAGAAAATTAACAATATTTAACACTTTAAGATAGGAAAACGAAAATAGCTTCTTTATTATTTAGATTTAGGGTTTTGTTATGAATCTGCAATGCAAATATTTAATTGGGGTCATTTGAAATTATGTCCCTTTAAACGAAGACGATTTTTATATTCCACTTTATACGCATTATAACTGTAGGCGGCACATAATTGAGATTTTAAAGTTAATTAATGTAAATAAAACCATGATCAATGATCATGCTGAAAGAAAATTAGATTTACGAAGGAAAAAATCTGTCATCCCAGAACCAAAAAATTGCTCTTAAACTTTTTATGAGGTTTTTTTTTGAAAGATATTTTTCTGTTGAAATCTTAAAAATAAAAATAAAATCTGATTAAACCAAACTTTTTTTAGGAGCAGGCCCAGGCTTCACTCATTGTGAAGCCAGTGAAACAAAAGCAGGCTCCAGTTAAACAAAAGCAGGCTCCAGTTAAACAAAAGAAGGCTGTAAAACGACTAAACGGAAAAGGTACTTTTCATAATTAGTTTCAATTTTTTTATTAAATTTTCATAGAGCATTCTCTCTCACAAGCAATTGCTGGTTAATGATAGTATGACTTTTATCACTTTCATACCATGGACTGAGGGCTTTTTTTCTAATAATAATACTTAATTCAATATAGAACTGGGATGTATATGTATTGCAGTAACCCGTCCATAGGCTGATGATGAAGAAGTCTTCTAAGGCCAACTACGAAAGTAGAACCTAACCATCATATTAAGAATGATCAAAGAGGGTCAAGATTTTTTATGTATTCAGTATGTATGACTGTAGGTTGATTGGTAATAATATTAATAATAATGCCAGAAAAGCATTGATACTGGGGGATTCAGTAAAGGGGATGCTTCAAAGGCATTAACAGAAAGCAGTACACACTCTAAACACATCTGCAGAGTGTTGATTACATGTTGAATGAGGTTTTGTAAAACCAGACCTGAGCTGAAAACTTTAGAATGAAATATCCTTTATCCCAAATATTTAATCCGAGTATCCAATGAACACACTTTTGATCTTTTTAAACCGTTCTTTATTGGATATAGTAGAGAAAAATCAAAAACCGGTTTTTTTGTAATTTAGAGATTCCCTCCCGTTTCTACATATAATCTTAAATGGCGCGCAAAATTTCAAATTTATCGGCTTCATATATGCTACTCTGATTGGTTGAATTTTATACACTTTTCAGGATACAAGTACAAGATTGGGTTAATCTCGATATTAAGGAAAAGAGAGGATCAATCATTAATCTCGATATCCACCATTCTAAAGTTTTCAGCTCAGGGAAAGTTGAGTCCAATTAGAGTGAAAAATTTAGAGGGAATTACTTTGGCTTATATTAATTTACCTGTAATTTACAATACATAGTTGTATCAAATTAAACGTTTTCTCTTCGTCGAGAGAAGACTTGAAGATCATCTTTGATTTTTTAATTGATTTACATCCAGATTTAGACAATTTGGTTTTAATTAATAAATCCAAATCTTGAACAAATTCTTTATACCTAGGGCATTTCTAAAAGCAAAAAAAGGCAGACCATATTTTGGAAATGCCGTCTGGTGAATTTTTTGATAAATATTTTAAGCATCTTACTTGTAAAATGCAGGGTGATTTTTAAAAATAGATTTTTTTTCATTTGTGATGAAAAATCCGCTATATTGAATAAGAAAAGTTCCCAATTTCTAACTTACTGTCTGACATTTACTAATTCCCGAAGCATCAATAGCTAAACACAGAATAAAAAGATTACAGGTCTCCGTTAAAAAGGGCAAACAGTGTCAAATATACGGTATTTTTCTCAATTTTTGTCCATTTTCTCTGTAAAATAATTTTTTTAACAATTTTCAATTATGGCTTCTGACCAGTTGTCATAACCCTAGATATATGAGAAGATCTTGTAAAATTCGATTCCAGCTTTTAAAATATTTAATTCGCAAGTAACACACCTGTGGTATCGGCTACGGCCAAGAGAGTCCTCCTAGTTCAGTCCAGGCAGAGGTCTGGCCGCTTCTAGGATAGGAACACGGTAAGCAAGGAGGAGAAGAGCCGCCTGGTCTAGCTCGAGCAGGAGGAGCTTGAGTACGCGCAGGACAGGCCACAGGAGAAAGAGAGAGAGAGTACGAGGATCCAGGAGAACCAGGATCCAGAAGATAATATGATAGTAACACAGGAAGGCCTTCAGGATCTTCTTCTTGGCATATATCTGGAACAAGAACACCGCTAGAGATAAAACATAAAAGAGATGAAAGAACATGGACAAGACAAAGATCACAATAATATAAAGACTAGTGGTGCCATCCTGGAGGTGAAGAGAGAGGAGGATAAAAGAACAGCAACGTGGAGAACCTAGATATAGGATCTCTGAGTGGAATGGCGATTCGTTCTCCATGTGATGTAAATAAGTTAGGAAGTTGTTTGAGAGCCTCCTTAAGCAGAGAAAGATTTACAATGCTGGAGAAAATTAATTTCTTTAGTAATAATGAGTTAATAAATTTAAAAATTATCTTTTTGTTGTACCTTGTTTTGCTTTGGAGAATATTTTAAAAATCACCCTGTAGGTTGACAAATGAATGCAGCAAATTATTCCAATTATCAAAACCAATCTACTAGATGTCTATAAACTGTCATACTTATTGAGACACCCTTTAGCATACCCCTATTTTATCTTTAAGTATGATTATTCTTCAGGTAAAAAGATCAAAACTCCAGATAAAGTTCTGCGGGTTGATCTAGCCCGCCTAACATCAGCTCAACAGCAATCAACAGCAGGACCAGAAACCATCAAGGCAAGTACTTACATTAAATAAACAAGTACAGTTCAAGTGAATAGAGATCATCAATCGTGATCTTTAGAAAATTCTAATCCTAGATCCATTGTTTAATAAGCTCCATATTTTCAAGGACTAAAGAATGTAAGTGATCGAGACTGAAACTTTTAGATTCAATTCATCCATGCAATGCCATTCATCAGTTATCAAGATTTGAATACGATTAATTTTTGATAACAAAGTTTCATAATTCAAAAAGTTAAAGCTGATGTTAAACGTTTTTTTAAGAGATCTTCGATCTAAAGAGTTACATTCCAGATTTACAAAAATCAATTATTGCCATTTTCTGTCAATATCCTACTTTGTCTCTACTGATTTCAAGTCATATTTATAATTTCAAAAAATGTCAATAATTTATTGAAATCCATGGTTTAATGATATCATTTCGAGTCGAACGTGAAACTCTTTAAAAATGGAAGATACTCGAAATCACGTCGATAGTACTTATAAGCAAGGGAAACAATCTCAATTTGCTTCGGTTATAATAAAACCTGATCTCAGGATCTCATGTAGATTTTAAAATCTCATGATTTCAATTCATAATTTGTTCAAAATTCTTAAAATTGTATTATTTTTGTTTTTGGAAGGAATTTGTTCTTATCCTCAGTTAATCTAAGTCAAGATGTTTCTTTATTTTGTTCTACTGTTTTATTATATAAATTCAAGTACCTCTAACCTTAAAGCTTGCGTTAAGCACAGAAGCAAGCAATATAATGTGGAATAAATGTTGCCTTTGTTTTTATTAAATATGCTGCTGCTTAATGTACCTGATCAGTTTCTGAGCTTTAACAGAACCAGTTTAAAATAACAGAATCCCTGGTCGTAGTTTTAATTAAAGAAAAGATCCAAGTCTAATTTTTTTACATTTGTGTCACGTGTTTAAAAATTGTGCCTGTGTTGGTTTTTTAGTTTTTGTTTAAAGATTATCACAACTATTCACTGTTCATTTTCGCTATAAAATGTTTCAGCTCAAATGCATTATGTCACAAGCTGTCGAAAATCCTATTTTTATTTGTTTTGTTTTCTTTATTTTTTATAACTTTGGCTGTGAGGTTGTAATAATATTACACTGTAATATGTTAACCCATGCAATCCAAAAATGTTTTGAAACAGTTTGTGTTATTTTTTTTCAGAATCGAAATAATTTTATAGCATGGCAGATTTTTCCTCCGTTGCGCGAGGCCCTGGTGCATATCCTCCGTATGGAGGATACCAGCCTCATCAGATGCATGGTTTCCAGCCTCCTCTTCCTCCACTTCCTCCTCCTCCAGTAGCCTCCACAGGTGGAGGTCTAAAATCATGATCTCATTGACTTGAATTTATTCAAACTTACTAGTAATAAAGTTCAGGAGAATTATTTTTCCTATCAAATATATGAAAAATCCTCAGCAATTGCGCATGAACTTACAAGCTTAGGATTACTAAGTTATATATAACGCATTTTTTAAATTTAAACTATGCACGTAAACTGATAAACAAAGATGATCTTGTGGAGCCTTTATCTTAACTTAAATCAAATAAAAGTTTTTAAAAAAAAACTGTACATGCAGGTTTCCATCAAGATGAAAGCAATCTCTGAGGATTATTTTCCAACTTCTTGAAGCAAACTTTTAAGCCTTGCAAGACTCAATCAACGACTTGAATTGCTCAAATGGCAATGTCCAATTCACAACGGTACCCTAAAAGCATATTGGTAGGAATTTATAATTTTGAAAATCTGATTATTTTTAATAGTAGTTTTTTTCCAAAAGTTCCTCGCGCATTTCTACTGTCGCAAAACAAATATGAATTTTCAGAATTAAGCAGTTTTAAACATTGAAAAGCGTAGAAAGGGTATTGTTGTGAATAGGGCTAATAGGAATATATCTTCCTCGTTATTGATCAGATAAAGATTGTAAGGGTACTGTTGTGAATATAGGGCTAATAGAAATATATCTTCCACGTTATTAATCAGATAAAGATTGTAAGGGTACTGTTGTGAATAGGGCTAATAGAAATATATCTTCCACATACAATTCCTTCAAACAAAATAAATATAAAAATTAAATCATTGAAATTTATTAAAAAGGCATTAATATATTATTGACTTTTTTGTTCTAGCTGACAAAACTGAAACACCGTCTTCTAACTTACCAGCTTATGCTCCTCCTTCTTGTCTTTCATATCCTCCACCTAGCTGTCCTCCATCCTATCCTACAATCAGCCGTCCTCCATTGTATCCTCCAGCTGACCCATCTCCATCTGTAGCTGGTGAGGAGTCAGTCAGGTAATGAAAGTAATCAATATATTTTGCAATCTGCTGCAGTGAAATATATTTTGAAAAAAACTATGCTTGTTAAGTTGTTTTCCCAGCTTTTAGATACTTTTATATAAATTTGTTTTATCTTCCTCTAAAAATCAAATTTAGAAAAAACAATAAAGCAAGAAATGTTTCCCTTATTTCTTTATTTATTTCAAACTGTATTTTGCTAGATAAATTTTTCAAAGTTTAATATATCAAAAGTTTACTGTTTACACCATCAAATTGCAATAATTTAGAAATTAGTAAAACAGATCTTCTTCTATAGAGTGGCTGATAATTACACTAAAGAAATAGTCATGTCATGGCATGTCATTAACGTAATAATTGCAACATCTTTTCTGTCTTAAAGATCTTCAGTAGAAGTATTTAATTTCGATTTTCACCCTTACTTATACTTAGAGTTGGACTCGCAGGGGTAAAAAGAAAAGGCCTTGCTCATGAGCTTTTAGGTAAGACAATTTTAATTTTACAATGAGAACCAGAAAACTTTGAAAATAGAAGACGACATAATATCAAAAACATTTGTGTATTTGATGATATTACAAAGCAAATAGTTTTGATTGTAACTTATGAACTCGCTTATTATGTAAAATGAGTCAGTTTACACTGCACAATTACTGTGTCACATGTTCATTGGACTATTTAAAGCAATGACTTGATTATAAAAGTTCTCTACATATTCAACCAACCAACCGTAATTCCCTCGTCAAATCCTGAGTTAGGTACACTCATGGTTGGTTGGATGGACCTTAAACTCTGATTTCGATTTCGATTTCGATTTCGATTTGATCTGGTTCTAATGGTATTTTTGGTTGTTTTACAAAATCTAGAATTAAGGGAGTATAATTGATTATTAAGGGTTAACTGCAACCACGCATCACACTTCCTGGACAGTTCTTTGGGATACAGAGATGCCTAGTGAGCTGATGACAAGGTATTAAATATACTTCCTGGACTGTTCTTTGGGATATAGAGATGCCTAGTCAGCTGATGACAAGGTATTAAATATACTTCCTGAACTGTTCTTTGGGATACAGAGATGCCTAGTCAGCTGATGACAAGGTATTAAATATACTTCCTGAACTGTTCTTTGGGATACAGAGATGCCTAGTCAGCTGATGACAAGGTAATAAATATACTTCCTGGACAGTTCTTTGAGATACAGAGATGCCTAGTCAGCTGATGACAAGGTATTAAATATACTTCCTGAACAGGGAAAAGTGATTTTGTTATTATTTGATTATTCCCTAGATGTCAACCCTTGTTCTGTGATCTCTGTTCTTCTCCTTTCTCCTCGCCTGTTCAGGCTAAAATGCATTATGAAGGTATCTTTTCAGGGGTGTTTATTTTTCAGATTTATTGTTGATGTTCAATGGGGGGACNGTTAATCAAAAATTTATTAACTTTACTCTAAAAAGAATTTTTGTAAATAAGGTAAGGGTATTAAATTATTATTATATTTTTAACAAGCTGTTGTCGTTGAGAACGTTGAGTTTCTTGTCGATTTCATTAGCGAAATATTCTGTTTTTGCTTAAGTATTTAAATTACTAATTGAAAATGACGTTTATAGTGAAGAGGGGTGGGCCTCAGCTTTCCTGCCCAAGATGGGGTTTCTTGCAGATTTCATCTCACATTAACACCAACACATGATCATTTCTTTTTTCCTAAAAAATTATAATTCATTCGTAATTAAAGAAACGCTTTACTAAATTGTTGATGGTCGTTATGTTACCTATCTAAATATCACCCCAGTATTTTCCAATTTATTAATCTAAATAAAGTTTGTTTATTTGCTTTATAAGAACAAATCTGTTTTTTTTCTTTTAGTAAATTCATCTCGGAAGTGATATGTGGAAAGTAGGACATCCCTAGAATTCCGATTGATTGATTGATTGATTGATCGATTGATTGATTGATTGATCGATCGATTGGATAATGTATAGGTAAAGGTCATGATAAACATGTCCGTGGCTACTTTGTAAAGCTCGGCTGGTCGTCTTCTATGATTCCGCAGAAAATGGATTCTTCCGGAAAGTTCCCGAAACGCGAAGAAATAAAATGTGAAGTCTGTGATCTAGATTTCACATCGCAACACTGTTTAACACAACATGTGATGGGGAAAAATCATCAAAAGTAAGATATTTCTTCTTATTCCTAATTTATGGTGCTTGTAACATTTATTATAGGAGAAAGATAGCATTAAGATAATTTTGGGGGGTTTAAAAAAGTAAATAAAAAAATTTGTCTAAAATTTTAAGAATTCTATTAACTTATGAAGAAAATTTTAATTTTTGTAAAAATAAGATTTTATTTTTAATTTTACCTATTATGTAGGAAGGTATCAGGATCTTCAAACACTAACCCTAAAATATTTAATAAACAGACTAAACGATGGGAAAACAATTCTAAAGGTAAGTAAAGAAAACTAACAGTATAAATATATTTTAAAACATTGACCAAATAATAATCTATCAGGATTGTAATGAGATGTGTGGTATCTTTAATCATTTTGTCTATAAATGTTGTGGCAGTACTTTCTTCGGAATGTTTAGTATAAACAAAAAATTTAAGATTAAACACAAAACACATGTATTGAATACTTAAAAGGGACTGTTAGCATAATTTCAAGTAAACCTCCGTGCAAAGATGGCATTGCCCAATTCACTGCGGTATCCTTGAGACCTGTATCTGATCAAAAATGAGGAATATATTGTCAGTTTTCTAGGTTTAAAAGATTTATAATCTGATAAGTCCGTTATGTTTTTCTGCAAAAGGAATGCGCAAGTCAATTTTATAGTTTTATAAACTATAAACATTGATATCTAATTCATCGGAGATTGCAATCTTTGAGATTACGCTTACAGTCCATTAAACACGTTCTTGTAATAAAAGTATGTATAATTTTAAGTTCCTGAGAGCGCCCCTCAGCCGGAGATTTCAACCCCGTTCTTCTGTGAAGTATGTAAGGTTGGTGCGCCTTCACAAGCTCAGCTAGACATGCATCTTAATGGAAAAAATCACAAGGTACAAATCTTTCTTGCTTTTCTGTCATAAGAATAGAACGAAGGAGAGGGGATAGGGTCTGCTGTTAAATGGACTGTAAGCGTAATTTCCCTTGGCCTTCTTGCAAAGATACCAATCCCGATTCACAACTGTACCCTTAACACCTTAATCTAATCAAAAATGTGGAGGAAATCATCGTTTTTTCTAATTCGAAAATAAACAGTTTAAGGAAACAAAAACATGCATATCTAATTCATAATGGATATACTAAAGCTTGAAAGGGTTCCAATGTATATCGGGCATTGCCATCTTTCCATGGAGGATCACTCGAAACTAAATATTGTTTGTTTACAAAGAAACTAGTTGTTAAGTTTACCCTAAAAGTAAAATGCAAGCAACCTTTTCTTCTTCTTCTTTATGCTTTTTCTTCAAATTGCAAAGATATGAAAAGGGAAAAAAGTAGTTGTAATAGAAAATTGACACCAAATAGGATTTTTCCATGATTCTTTTTCACAATCTAGGTTCTTTTTTGATAAGATTAAATTTAAATTCTAGAAAAAGATGGAGAAAAGTATGGGTGGAATTAAAAGTGATGATTTGAATGCTATTCAGAAACGAATGCAGTTTAAGGTAAGTTTTTGTACTACATTCATTAAAACAAAATGAAATGTTCTAAACTTTTGTTTTCATATTTTCTGTAATCATGGGTTTTAGCTTAAAAAAAGGTCCGAAAAGGTATTTTTTTCCTCAAATTTTTAATAATTTTGTATATTAAATCTGTAGTAAGTACTTGCTAGAATAAAAATATAACATGAGGCCGAATTTAGTGAATTAACCGCGGCTTAAATTTGAGAACATAGTTGATTCCATTTAAAATTGTGTTCAATGTTTCTAGATTTAAGCCGGCGCTCAATTGAAACCGGTTTTTGGCGGATTTGAGACGCGGCTCAAATTCATTAAATTCGGACTCTGAAAAGATATTTATTTTAATTGGAAAACTTCGGCATTTTGTGAAAAAATTCGCTTGAAAAAAAATGTTTACAGTCCCTTGAGGGGAAATTCATTTTGTAATTTTTTTTATGAATCTATTGTGTACTTAATCATTCTTCCTCACTTCATCGTGAATTTCATAATGAACGTACAATAAAGTAATCATCATCGTGGTATAAAGTTAAATTAGCTGTACATTATAACACGTGTACTATAAAGTTTTGATTGATTACCGGATTTTCTCAACAAAATTTTGGATATTTCCAAAATATTTTTTTTCAATTGAAATGAAAATAAAATTGATATCAACTTGTATAATTTGACTTTTGCTTTGTTTCAAAGCTTATTTGATCTAGAAATAGTCATTGAAATAAGACAAGTACACAAACGTTTCATAAAATTACCTATGACACTATTATTTTGGCAAAACTTGCGCATGCGTAGTCGGACTGTAAACAGCTTCTAAAACTAGTTCTTTACAATACGTTCTGTACAGATCCTCAGGGAGAACTCAGAGAGTCGCAGGGGTATCACATAGACTTTATGAACGCAGCGTAGCTCGCGTAACAATATCTTTACTTTTATCAATATTCAATACCTTTTTTTTATCAATATTCAATATCTTTATTTTTATCAATATTCAATATCTTAATTTTATCAATATTCAATATTTTTATTTTATCAATATTCAATATCTTTATTTTTATCAATACTCAATATCTTTATTTTTATCAATATTCAATATCTTTACTTTTTTCAATATTCAATATCTTTTTTTTATCAATATTCAATATCTTTATTTTTATCAATATTCAATATCTTAATTTTATCAATATTCAATATTTTTATTTTTATCAATTTTCAATATCTTTATTTTTATCAATACTCAATATCTTTATTTTTATCAATATTCAATATCTTTATTTTTATCAATATTCAATATTTTTGTTTTTATCAATATTCAATATCTTTATTTTTATCAATATTCAATATCTTTAATTCATTTTTCTCTTGAAATTCTTCTTGTGATAAAAAAACAAAAAACAAACTGTGAACGTAAATTCAAGCGCCTTAATTTTTATAATTTTTTCAATCTGAAAATGGATAAATTTCCATTGCGGTTTCGTTATAAAATTGACTTGTAGATATAAGTAGCAGAGACCTCGAAGGAAGTTGACAGAATTCATGTCTTTTTCTAAAATGAAGGCGTCGATATCTTCCGCGCTTTTACTCAGATAAATATTTGAAAGGTGTTGTTATAATGGGGCATTTAATTTTTGAATGGAGATCACTTTGAATTACAATAAAAGTCCCTTAAATTTTATGAATTTTATCTCATTCTATTAAATGCGCTAAAAAAAATTTCTTCATAATCTTACTTTATTTTTCAGAAAGGAGTTGTGCACAAAGCTAGACGATGATGTTATGGCGAAGATGTTAATATGAAAAATTTGTTTGTTTGGGCTTTATGTTAATCGTATTTGTTAATTTTCAGATTTAAAATGAGTGATTTAGACGTCCCCAGTGCTTTAGTTCCCAATAGTGTTAAGGATCCCAAACCCAAACCTTTTTCCGTTGGTAGTATTCAGGTTGGTATTTTAAATTGTAATTTATAATCAATCTGATTTTGCAGATTATTTCGAGAATCCAGTCCGTATGTATCATATATGGGCAGCGGCAACTCTGTGTTACTTGCTAATGCTGCAATGAATTATAAGACAGAGAGAGAGCCAGTTCTAGCAGCGGTGCTCGGCCCCTAGCCTGTCCTAGCCGTATCGCGCGGCCCAGAAAGTGTCTAAACCTAGCCTAACCCTAAATTTAAACTAATCTCTCTCTTCTTATAATTCATTGCGGCATTCGCGAGTAACAGAGTTTGGCTGCTACCTCATAAATGTTATATTGACAGGAATCCACAGCAGATGAGAAAAAAAAATCCCAAAAGATATAGTTCAAACTTGAGCTTAGAACATTTCTACAAATTAAAAGTTTGAAAACAATGGCCGGCCTTTATCGTGTTTAGTGGACACAATAATTTTTGATCGATTCAGCAGTTTTACCTTTTTTGGATACAACTTACAAACAAACATTCAGACCATAATTATCTGTATATTTTGGTTTGTCTGTTTATAGTGTTTTGTTTTTGTTGCGTCAAAATAGATGAACCGATTTGACCCAATAAAGAAAATCCATTTATTTAAATAGAAAAAAAAATCCGCGAAAATTTTGTTTGTTTGATCGAGAATGACTGAAAAATTGCGGCTTGAAATCCAACATTTATAAATAAAATTGTTGCTAGAAAAGAAAGCCTAGTAAAGTTTAAACATATATATCTAGGTGAATCCCTGCCAGCGAGGGAACCCAATCCTGAAGGAAATTAGGAATGTTCCCTGGGAGTTTGTGGAAGGAATTGCCCCTGATTATATCCTAGGTAGATTTATACAATAGTATATTATACATGAATATTTTAAATGGAAATGTTCATGCTAAAAATTATATCCTTTCTTTATCTGAAAATCATGATTTGCAGATCCATGCAGAATAGACAAGGAAGGAAATTATGCTGAATTCAGATATTTTTAGGATATAAATCAACGACATCATTTTTCAGTAAAGGGGTTAAAGGGTATTTAAATCTTAAAATAAAGGATTACTTGAAATAACGCTGACAGTCCCTTTAATATTTCTGTTTAGGTCCAAACTGTTTAGCTCTGTTTCTCTCCTTAAGATATTTTACCCTTCAACCCAAATATATTCATGACAGGTTAATAAATATAATAATAAAAACATATGTTTTATAACAAATTTTAATAAAATGGTGGTTCAGAGAATTTTTCAATTTTTATTTTGGATTTTTTATAAATGAGTTACTCCAAAGTGGATTATAATTCCTTATGGATTAAGTATTTTACAAAAAATCATTTTTCAACAACATAATGTTCATACTCTACATAATTAATTTTTTTCTTAGAATTTCCTTACATTTTAAACATTTTCAAACATTTATATTTTCTTGAACTCGGCTTTTAGAACATCGCTTTCTATAAAAAATGATAATCTGAACAATATTAACAGAAATGACGACAATAATAATAATATTATAAGAAAGATAATGATGATAAAATTAATAATGATAAAATAAAAGTAAGGAGGAATAAATTGTTGTTAAGATTATTCGGTCTGGGAATAAGCTAGTTATAATGAATATTAAGATTAAAAGCTATTGGTTCTGGTAGTAAGCTGCGTGTTCTCCTAGTTCTAATTGATCAAAAAGATCCACATTTTGCTCTCAATAAACTCATGAGAATCAGGTTAGAAAAATTCGGGACTCTTTGCTTGCACTTAATATTAAAAAATAAAATGAAAATGCTTGAATTTTCCCTAAAATATTTCTAATATCAAAAATAGCTTCAAGGCAAAGTATCGACAAAAGTAGTAAAAAAACTGATTATTATTATTTTTATTGATAATAAAAGACAATAAATACTAAATAGTCAATTGTTAAATTTTTATTTTTCATTTAAAGATTAAAATACTCAAATCTGTCTTCATATGTTCTGTTCATTTATGCAATACGAGAGTTCCTGAAATTTGATATTTTTAAATCTACATTCTAAAATCTACATTATTTAGTGCGTCACAATAAACAATAAATATGACAATTTAAAAAAAAAATTACCTAAGGCTTGTTAAAGAGTCCTCACCTGATATGATTTCAGATGCATAATGCAATTTAGTAAGTAATGTTTAATGGGATATTGTGTAACTGTATGTACATGTTACACCACTCCCACGACAAAACAATCAGTATTGTGTAAACTACAGTGCTAAGCGATTATATCAATACAATTAAGACGACTTTTCATTTAAATTTTTATTTATATCAAGCTGTTGAACAGCATGGAGAAGCTGTCGATTGAAAAGCTTCACTTTGATTACTTGTCAATTTTTAACTCGAAAAAAGCTTGTTAATATTAAAACTTAAATGAAAACTTAGGCTTCATTGTATTTATATAATAGCCTACCACTGTATGTGAAGTGTGAACTCATGGGAAATATTGATTATACACACAAGTTGAAGTACAGCAAAACCAATTTTATTTTATTTTTTTAACATTCAATATATATATTTGCCATGAAGACTTTAANTCTATCCAAAAGTGAATGTAATACTTGAAGAATATGTGTTTTCAGTATACTAAGTGAGCTGACCCTAATGCTAGCCTGGAACAATGCTGAAGCTGGCAAGATATTGGAAACATATAAAATCTATGAGAATAAACCTCCAGATATGATAATGGAAAAAACAGGAACGCAGGCAAACTCTCCTTTTATTTTGCGGAATTAAGTTTTTCAATTTTTATAAAAATTCTTAGAATATAATTATGTCATTATTAACTCTGTTGAATGTTTATATTGTATTTATTTAAGTGTCCTTTTTTGCTATAAAGTGCTAACGAAAAACTTATTTTTTAAGGACGTATTTGCGCCAAACTTTTTTCAGATTTTCTTATGTAAAGCTTCTTAAAATCAATCAATATTTTTATGTAATACACAATAAATGTTAAGATATTTTTTATACCAAAATAATGTTTTTTTAATGAAAGCCAGAAGACAAAAAAAGTTAGGGCCACATTATTTTCATACGCTCCATAAAATCAAGGAAATGTTTATATTTTAATGTAATGGTGTTTAGGTTCATGAAAAGATGATTGAAGCGCTTACTTCTATTAAATCTATTAGTAAAACTGATGCAGCTACTCTGTTAGGTAAATGAAAATATTAATTTTGTGTTAAGAAAAAATCATAAATTACGTAATATTCAGTAATTGCCATGAAACTCAAAATAACAGATAGACAACATTTAACTACATAGTCAAATTTAAAATTTTTAACTTTTCATACACAGATTTATACACAGATTTATACACAGATTTGTAAACAGATTTAGACACAGATTTAGACATAGATTTAGACAACAGATTTAGACACAGATTTATGCACAGATTTATGTCAGATTTATACACAGATTTGTAAACAGATTTAGACACAGATTTAGACACAGATTTAGACATAGATTTAGACACAGATTTAGACACAGATTTAGAAGACATAGATTTGTACACAGATTTATACACAGATTTAGACACAGATTTGAAATTTGTTTTTTCTTAAGTTCATAACTATATTTGTGTTAATAACAAAAAGTCATTTTGAGATCTTAAGTGACGCCAGTATGTTATGTAGCCGCGACTACAGGTTTTTAGATTTCAAATTAATAGAAAAAAGACATCTCCGCAATCATTTCATAGATGCAGGATTAAAATGTACTTTTGTGAATGGCTTATGACATCCACTTACTTCAGGAACACCAGTTCCATTGGCTGGCTTGATAATGGCGGGCAGCATATTTTTTAACTTAAAGGGATTGTAAACTTTATTTCAAGTGATCCTCCATGCAACGAAGACAATGCCCGATTTACAAAAGTGATTTGCGCATTTTTCATATACGTAATACTGGAGAAATGGGAGAAATGTTCAGAATTACTTTTCGAGTCAGAAAACGACAATGTTTTCCTCATTTTTGATCAATTTGATGTTTCAAGGCTACCGTTGTGAATCGGGATTGCCATCTTTGCATTAAAATTACGCTTACAGTCCCTTTAATTTGAAAATAATTTTTATCCCAGGAGTATTCGGAAGCCTGGAGAAGATAGTGGGAGCCAGCAGTGAGGATTTATCCCTGTGTCCCGGGTTTGGTCCACAGAAAGCTCAACGCCTGCAAAAAGTTCTCAAAGAAAGCTTTAAACGACAAACAAAACGAATCTAAATATTTTCCATATATATTTATTCAAACTAAGAGAGAGCAATCCAAATTTCGTTATTTCAAGTCGCTCATGTCCGATTCACAATGGTACCTTTTCAACCTTTATCTGATCAATAATGTGAAAGTCTAACAACTTCCTTTACGGTTTCTGAGGCAAAAATTCCGCAAGCTATTTTTGAAAGAAACCACAAATCGAAAATAATTGATTTTCAAAGAGAAAATTATCGATATCTCAAAAAATGTTGATCTGACATCGGGTACAGTTGGGAATCGGACAACTTACGTTTACAGTCCCTGTACAGATTAACTTTAGATCTATGTACACTGTACAGGGTTATCCACAAAGAATGCTACTCAAATGAGGACCTGGAACTCTGGCATTGCCACAATGGGTTTTAATCGGTCTTAAAGGAAGTGTCTGAGAGTGCAGTATTGTAGAGAAACTGATTAGCAATCACTTGTATGGTGTATAATTGTTTAAGTAAGAGCGCCAAATCGATCTTTAAAATCTTCCTGGCACTCGATCCCTGGCAGGTTGTAGCGCGCCCAGCACGCCTGCAACAAGGTATGCTGCGCCACAATCTGCTGGACACTGGACAGGCTTGCCGCGCTTTTATATGGTCTGATATTGAATGTGACCTTTTGCAGAGACTAGAGAGAACTGCGAATTTCATAATTAAGACTGAATTAAACATTCGCCTCATAAACTAAATACCTTGTGGATAACTCTGTTTCTAACTCATTTCAACTTAATAGTAAAAGAAGAATATTTAGACTCTATTATATTGATGTTCCATAAAGTGAACAATCTCTTTTTTTAACTCATGTACCTAAATAAAGTGTGACGCATAGTTTTTACTATTATTTTAAATATGTTTCAGAGGAAAAATGCGACAAAAATGGATTTGAAGAAACAAGTAGTATATAAATTTTTTATATTACTTGCACTTTGCTTTGAAACTTACAACTTGCTAGGTAAGATGTAGTACTTCATAACATCATAAAAATACTGAAGAAATATTTATCATAATTATTTAAATGCACAAATAATTGGGATACATACACAAGTATTTTTGTTAGAAATGTTAAACCATGAAATACGTATTTATATTGTTTTGCACATTTTTATTAATATCGAACGATTACGATTATTATTATTTTTAGTATTATTATTATCATAAATATTGGATAAAGACAAAACCTTAAGTGTACCGTTGTGAATTGAACACAAAGGGAGGGTCACTTGAAATAACCTGTACAGTCCCTTTAATATTGGTAGATACTGGATATGATCATGTGCTGACAGATGACGAGTACAGGCTGTCAATGGGCCAGGGATATGTTTTCTTCGAGATTACTGAACCAGAGGAGCTCGCTTTCACTTACAAGGTTCTAGAATATTCTCCAATCAATCAATCATGAAAGACCGACATGACATGCTATATTCTTACAAAAGGTTTTTGACTGCCATCTAACCGACACTTGTTGCATATCGTACCCATTCAGGGGTTAATTTCTACAAATACTTTTAAAATTCATGAATTTAGTCTTTTTTTGACAATTTTTATTTCGTATCCAAAGGATCGTTAAATACCCCTGAATATAATTGTCTGCTTTTTGGTAGTGCACTCCAGTTGTACACAATAGAACTTGTATATATACAACTATATGGACTATGGATATGGACTATCTTATCTCTGATTCCAATCATATATATGGAATTCCAAGATGGGTCTTGTTATTGAATTATTTTATTTATCAATTTAAATACTTATTAGTAATTATTTGACTGTTGCAGGCTAACCCTGCTAGTTTTACTCCGGTCTGGAATACAACACTGACTGGGGTTCCCTTAGTCTCTACTGATCCACCCTGTAGCTGCGGGTTCATCAAGTAATTAATCAATCAATTTTCAGAATTGAATTGTTATGAATTTGCTTTAAAAAAATAGTTGTGAAATTTTCAAAGGTTTAATTAAGTTCTAAATATTTTTTGTTTTTTGTTTTATATAACTAAGTAAATATTTCTAATCGGTTTTATTTTTTAAAAAAAAAGGGGAAAAGTAAGTTTTCCATGACTTAAAAACATAAAGATCATTTAATTTCTAAAAAATGGAAAAATTGAGTTCAATGGAATGGAAACAGTGGTTCCCTTTATCTGATCAATATTGGGAAAGATATTGTCGTTTTTATAAATTTAAAAGTGTTAAATTTAGATAATTCCTATATTTTTCCTTCAGTAGAAATGCGCAAGTTATTTTTGTAGATAAACCACAGCTGAAAATAATTTATTTTCAAAATTATGACTATACCTTTGTGAATTGGGTATTGCGATTTTTATATGGAGAGTCACTTAAATTACGCTTTCAATCCCTTTAATTTTTAAAATTGTTAATTATTAAGTAACCATGATGAAGTCGAGGGTAAAATTGCTTTCATTGAAAGAGGAGAATGCTCTTTTGTGTCCAAGGTCAAAATTATGAACATTGATATCATACTTTCTCATACCTTTGTGAATTGGGTATTGCCATTTTTATATGGAGAGTCACTTAAATTACGCTTTTAATCCCTTTAATTTTTATATGGAGGGTCACTTAAATTACGCTTTCAATCCCTTTAATTTTTTTATGGAGAGTCACTTAAATTACGCTTTCAATCCCTTTAATTTTTCAATTGTTAATTATTAAGTAACCATGATGAAGTCGAGGGTAAAATTGCTTTCATTGAAAGAGGAGAATGCTCTTTTGTGTCCAAGGTAAAAAATCTAAACATCTGATCTTGAAATTGTCACAAATATAGACTGAAGGGTTTTTTTAAAATTTACTATTGCAAAAAAAAAAATACCGACCTTCATAGCAAATACATCTCTTTCTATCTTTTTTAAAGTTAAAAAAAAATCTCTAAAAATTGTTTTGCTTGGTTTGAATATTTTCTGGCTGATAATACTAAACCTCTTATCAAGGTTGTGAGAGCAGAGGCCGCAGGAGCCATCGGGGTCATCATTACAGATCAGGTATCATTATTATTACTGTAATCATTACAGATCAGGTATCATTATTATTACTGTAATCATTACAGATCAGGTATCATTATTATTACTGTAATCATTACAAATTAGGTATTAGTGTTATTATTTAATCATTACAAATCATGTAGATCATTATTATTACAGTAATCATAACAGATCAGGAATTATTATTATTACTTTAATCATTACAAATCAGGTATCATTATTATTATTGTTATCATTGCAGATCCGGTATCATTATTATTTCCATAATCTTTATAGATCAGGTATTATTATTATCACTGTAATCAATACAGTATGGAATTAATATTATTACTGTTTTATGTACAGATTAGGTATCATTATTATTACTGTAATCATTACAGATCAAGGATTATTATTATCACTGTAATTATTATGGATTAAGTATTTAGTATTAGTATTACGGCTGTATTCATTGTTGGATCAGGTTTAGTAAGAAAGGATGAATGAATGTTGAGGATGAAGAGAATTGTGAATTTTATATATATGAATAAATGAATGAATGAATGAATAAATGAATGAATGAATAGATGAATTAATAAATGAATGAATGTCTAGGATGAAGAGAATGATGAACTATATATATCTATGGTGGATGACACTACCTCAAGAAATGTGAATATTCCTGCCGTATTTCTTCTTGGCAAAAACGGGTAAACTCTAATACTTTCTTTTATTCCATATTTCCTAATCTTGGATCTCTTCTTTAACAATTAAATAAATAATTAATTATTATTTTGAATTATTCTGATTGTGAAAAGAGTTCGCCGTTGAAAAAAATGTTATATTTTTCATTGAAAAGTATTAGAGGTGGATTTAATTTAATCTTATTACCGAGAAAAAAGATAAAACATTTTCTTTGACTTTTTGTTAGAATTAAATGAAATTGACCTTTCATTTATAGAGTTGCATTTCCGATTATAACGGTACCCTGAAAAGCTTTGTCTGTCTAAAAAGAATGAGATATTTACCATGTTCTCTTTGAAAAATGGTTATTTTTAATTTAATTTGTATAAAAGTGATATGCGGATTTATATTTCTGAAACAACGAAAGACTTTCTAGCAAGAGAAAACGACGATATCTTGAACATTATTGAATATTATTAATTGAAATGGCACTGCTGTGAATTGGGCAGGATCCTTCATAATAGATTTTAATCTGTTTCTCTTTCAGGCAAATAATAAAGAGATGGTTGGACAGATTGCAACTTTCCCATGCTCTAGTCAACATTCCTGTAAATATATCTAGGATTCAACCTCATAAACTTAATCAACCTCCTTGGATGGTCTGGTAGATAATCAACCTTCTCGGATGGTTTGGTAGACTATCAACCTTCTTGGATGGTTTGGTAGACAATCAGCCTCCTAGGATGGTTTAGTAGACAATCAACCTTCTTGGATGGTTTGGTAGACAACCAACCTCCTTGGATGGCTTGGTAGACAATCAACCTCCTAGGATGGTTTAGTAGACTATCAACCTTCTTGGATGGTTTGGTAGACAACCAAGCTCCTTGGATGGTTTGGTAGACAATCAACCTCCTTGAAAGTTTTGTAGACTATCAGCCTCCATGTTTTTCTAACAAACCAAATATTGAACCCCATGGAATTAATAAAAACCAGGCAACCTAATTTATTGATACTATACAGCTAACCGCTTGAAAAATTGGTTTGGAACCCCCCTCTCCTTGAACTAAACATGGCAGGAGAAGGTCAAATGTTTGCAACACTACTAGAAAAGCTTTGTGACCTCATAACTACTCTAGTATTGATTTTATGCACAAGTAAAGAGAAGCAAATTAATACGATTACATACTTGAAATTAATAACATTTTTGTTCTTTTTAAAAGCTTTTCAATAAGAAGAGTTATGATTAAAAACATGAGATTTAAATCTTACGTGTAATTTGCTTTATTTTAACGTGAGCTCCCCTCCACCATGTTCAGCGTGTCAGAACTAAATTTTGTGTATAGTTACTATTTCGATCTAGTCATTAGTTTATATAAATTAAACCTAAAATTTTTGTACAGTAAGAATCAGAAAGCTCTGGAATAGAAAGACGACTTTTAGACTCAAGTTATGACTTTGAATTGTCAAATGAACATGAGACAGACCAATTGTAATTGTAAACAGACTTATTTTACTTAATAAGAGACTTAATGAGTTACCAGTAAAACTATTTGCATTATGACAAAGTCAACACTTAACTATTGTTTTAATGTCGTCTTCATATTCCACAGTTTTCTGGTTCTCACTGTATATTGATTGAAATAATCTTGTTTTGTAATATGATTTGGAATGATACTTTGTAACACCCTGTTATCATTTTAAAGTTTTAATGTAAATTTGAAGAAAAGTACTAACAATATTAGAAACATATTTATCCATCGGTTAATTACTTAAATAATATTCAACACAAGAAAATTATCATCTATACTGGCTTTATTAACCAGTACTTGAGTGCCATTTTTTAGTTTTTGTTTGAATAATTCATTGAATTATTTCGTTGATCATCATGTCAATGTTATCAGTCTTTCTTGATCATCAGTTCGGAACATTTGTCTTTTACGAACTTGACTTTTTCATATTGAAACATTTTTCAAGGGATCAAGTGCTCAAAATCTCTCATTGGTCAAGAACATGTTTTTTGTGGCTTAATCCATCGATTAATAAAAATACAGATTAGTACTTCAAATCAAAGTTGGGAAATAGAAAAGTTTGACCTCTGATTAGTTTTAATATTTTTTAATTGCTTAATTGTTTTGTTTTCAAATTATTAGTTTTTGATTGATTTATGTTTTATACATTTAGATATCTTGAATTTAATTTAATGTTTTTGATTTTTTAAACGTAGAATTGTAGATCTAAATATTATTCATGTTTGATATAGATTTTGTTATCTAAATTTTGACAATTTAAATATTAGTTTGTGATTTAATTTAGTTTTAAACGAATAAAAAGTATGCTGCAAAAAATTATGACAAGTTTTCTATAAATTTAAAAACTTTTGCTCTGAAGGTGCGCTACAACATTTGTTTTATTGATTGCTCTATGAGCTCTGTAACTCTTTGATGTTAGGTATTTTCCCAAGCGGCAACTGCCCAAGGGTATTTTCTTAAGCAGCAACTCCTCAAGGGTATTTTCCCCAGTGGTAACTTCCCAAGGGTATTTTCCCAAGCGGCAACTGCCCAAGGGTATTTTCCCCAGTGGCAACTTCCCAAGGGTATCTTCCCATGGGTATTTTCCCCAGTGGCAACTTCCCAAGGGTTTTTTCCCCAGTGGCAACTTCCCAAAGGTATTTTCCCCTGTGGCAACTTCCCAGAGGGTATTTTCCCCAGTGGCAACTTCCCAAGGGTATTTTCCCCAGTGGCAAATTCCCAAGGGTATTTTCCCAAGTGGCAACATCCCAAATTTACAATTTTCCAAGCGGCNACTGATTTAATCCGGTCTTAACCTAACCTAACCCTCAAATATCAAGATTACATCAAATATATTCTAGTGCAATAGGTGGCAACAGAGAAATGGATAAATCATTAACGACGTCACAAGTGTCAAATATAACAAGGAAAACGAAATGTTCAGACATTAGTGCATTTATGTAACTAAAGGATAAGCACTTTATTTTAAAATTATCACTTTTATCAATAATTTTGTCTGACACAAAAACTAAGTTGACACTTATGACATAAGAATGCAGCTGTACTGAGAGTACATACTCTACGTTATCTATTGTACTAGAATATATTTGGATTCCATCATACATTTTTTTTGTAAAAATATCAAATTGATATGACACTGTTTCTGTAGGAGCTTGTATGAAGCGAATATTTACTCTGCTAATTCAATAATTTTTTAGAACTCGTTGGGTTGCTTGATTATCTGTTTTGCTGCTATTATGATAAATATTTCTATGAAATGTTTCAATTCGTCTATGGTCAAAGAATTCTGATAAAAAGATAAGCAACTAGTTAATTTTACAGAATGTCTATCGATCTTTTATTCGGAAAGACGACGTAAAGAAAAAAAAGGACAATTGGGCGCAAAATTTAAAATTTGATTCAAATAGTTTGAAAATTCTAACCTACTGGTTTACCCATAAAGGATGATACTTTAGAGATGGCTGTACGGAATTTATTTTCATAACTCATTTCAACATAATCTTTGTTTTTTTCTCGGCAAAAAATAAAACTATATTCAGAGCATAAGACTTAATCTAATCCTGCACCCTGGGATTGTCATATTTGAGGAGTTTGCGATCGTCTTTACAGTCTCGCCCTGTATTGGTGACCCTGTATTTTCAACTATTTTTCCCTCATACTTAAAAGAAAATGATTACAATTATTTTATAATTCAAACTTAATATTTTAAATCAGTTTTAACAAAATGTTCTCCATCTTCTTTTTACACTCAGATTGAATACACTCATCTCCTAAAAACATCAACACTAAATTTATTTATAAAATTTTAGATTTTTTTTTATTTTCAATAAAAATATGTTTCAATTGATTTTACTCACCATCTTTTTAATCTTCCATGGGGAGGTTGCCCACAAAGAATGAGCTTTTAATGACGACTTATAACTCAAAATATAACGATGTGAGGCTGAATCGTATCTTATCTTGAATGTAGATTTTAAATGTCGTAGTTTTGTCAAAGTTTGAATCAAGTTTAAAGTTGCAGGTGTAATTAAAAAGTCTAAATAAAGTTAGTACAGTCTCTTCTTTTTGGGTCACCCTGTAGTCTGTAAGCACCTCCTGTATCTGGCGTATGCCTTCTAAAAGGGAGTGGTTGGATCAATGCAATGAAATACTTGCATTGTCACTTTTTTATCTTTGTATTGTGTACTTTTGAACTTTGCACTGTTAAAATAAACCATCGCATTTTATCCATACATTTGAATTATCGAAAGTATCTAGAAAATACAATATTTGTTAAAAAAACAGAATACTCAGAACAAATCACAAATTGTTTTTCCCCTCACATTCTGTTTGCGTTATTTAGAAATATTTTCGATAATCAAAACGTTTTTTTAACAGTGAACTATCCGTACTTTTATCTGATTAATTGTTAACTAATGCAAAAAGTGTGCAGAAAATACATTGGCAGATAGCAGATATTCTTGCAATAAGATTTAGCACAAGAGCCAGGACACGGGAATATAACATTGTGAAGAAGAAAACTTAAACTATTTGAAAACAGAATATAGAATTCAAATTTTATTATTTTAAGGAGTTTTCGGCTGGTGGAGGTCATTATTGTAAACTCAGAATCTAGGATGAAAAATAAGTAGTTTATTGGTAGGTATGACTTCAGACTTACCTAGGAAGTATGTAGGTAGGTAGGTAATTTAGGAGGTAGGTAATTCAGGAGGTAGGTAGGAAGGTTTGTAGATAGCTAGGTAGCTAGGAAGGTTACGCATAATCTGGCACATTAGCAAGGCTATCCAGTTTAATTTCGAGGTATACAAGTAGGTTGTGAGGTAGGTATGGTGGACAGGTAGGTAGGTAGATATGCAGATAGATAGGTAGGTAGGTACGTGGGGACGTATGTAGGTAGGCCTACTGACTAACCTGGTACATTAGCAAGGCTATCCAGTTTAGATTCCAGGTAGGGAGGTTATAGGTAGGTAGGAAGGTAGGTAGGTAGGTAGGTAGGTAGGTAGATCGCCGGGTAGGTAGGTAGGTAGGAAGTTTAAGTTAGGAGGTTGGTAGATAGCTGGATAGTTATAACTGCTGACTAACTTAAAACATACGCTATGACTACCCAGTTAGGTTTCTAGGTATACTTGGAAGTAGGTAGGTAGGTTTAGTAGGACTACTGACAAACCTTGGACAAAAACAAGACTACCCAGTTGAGTTTCAAAGTATGTTAGGTAGGTAGGTAGGTAACCTGGTACATTAGAATGATTACCCAGTTTAGTTTCAAGGTATACGAGTAGGTTGGTAGGTAGGTAGTAGGGACTACTGACTAACCTGGTACATTAGCAAGACTACCCAGTTTAGTTTCAAGGTATAAGAGTCGGTTAGGAGGTAGATAGGTAGGTAGATAGTTAGGTAGGAAGGACTACTGACTAACCTGGTACATTAGCAAGACTACCCAGTTTAGATTCCAGGTATACGAGTAGGTTGGGAGGTAGTACTTCTAGCAGCGTTCTTCCAGCCAGCTTTCTCATTGACTAAACATGCAAAAAAATTCCATGAAGAAAATAATTTAATTGTTTTATTATGATAAAATCATTCATAATGAAAATATCTGAATTTTATTTTTTGGAGAAAACTAAATAATTTGTTCATTATTTAATTGTAAAAACTTTTTATTATGAAATTATTTGGGTATTCACATTTAAACTATTTGATTATGCAAAAATTATAAATATGTGTATTGTGTAATGTGTTATTATCAATATGATTATTAATGTTAGAGTCATTATCTAAATTATCTATATTGGGCTTTTAGGGCGCTTCGCGCCCATCTTCTATTAAAATTGTGAACATTCGCGGATTTTCAAGAATTTAAATTTTTTTACAAAATTAAAAACCATTAAAACACATTTTTTTATTTATATCATGAATAAACCTTCCCTGTGGTCACGTGATGTCCCACAAAAAATTTGGGCCCGATCGGTTCAGCCGTTTTGACGTTTATCGGATACAAACAAACAGACAAGCCAAATTTATATATAGATAATAAAACAAGACATTCGTATATATATGGTGCCTATAGCCGGCCAAACGGCTGGACCGATTGGACTGAAATTTCTTGTAGACACTCAGTGGTGGGTGGGCCCTTCAGCCAGTCATTATTATTATTTAATTTTTGTTTAACTGAAAATATTACCAACCTTGCACTTCTGATCCCCCCGGGGTAAATCACTGAACATCTTGTAGGAAAGCTGGTTAATTTTGTTAATCACCTTAACATGATATTTAAAAAAATATATTTTATATCCTAATACAGTGAGAACCAGAAAACTGTAGCATAGGAAGACGACATTAAAGCAATACTGAAGTGCATTTGAATTTGTTACAAAGCAAATATTTTTACTAGTAATAAGTTATTAAATCACTTGGTGTCTGTTTACATTGCACAATTGCTGTTCATAGGACTATTTACAACTTGAGTCTAAAAGTCGATTATTTTATATTTTTCTGGTTCTCATCAATAAATTTGAAAAGTTGTATTAATTTTAAATACGAAGTTTTGAAGGGTACCATTGTGAATCCAACATGCTACTTTATTAATAAAAAGTTAAGCTCATGTAACAACTAAACTACCATGACAGAAACTGTACATGTAGTTGAAGGGACTGTACATGTAGTTGAAGGGACTGTACATATAGTTGAAGGGGCTGTACATGTAGTTGAAGGAACTGTACATGTAGTTGAAGGAACTGTACATGTATTTGAAGGGGCTGTACATGTAGTTGAAGGGACTGTACATGTAGTTGAAGTGACTGTACATGTAGTTGAAGGAACTGTACATGTAGTTGAAGGAGAAAGGTAGTTTAAAATTACAAGGACAGTCCCTTGAAGTGTTACCTGTGGAAGCAGAGCATCAAATTCTTTTTCTTTTAATAAATCCCTCAAATCCTGAAGTTAAAAACAGTTCTTGTAAATCCTGAGGTTACAAGGCAGGTCACGTCAAATTCATGTAAGTTGTAAGATTGACATTTGATAAGATTTTAATCATAATTTCTCTTATTGAAGAGCTGTAGCGAAGAACAAAGTTGTTTAGCATTTCAAATTTGAAACCAGATAAATTTGATTTCTCAAAGAAATTGAGTCTTTGCCACAAACTCTGATTTTTAATTCCTATATCTCAATTCGAGATTGTATATACTTTACATATTTCAAACTATGAATTCTGATACTCTAAACAAATAATCTAATTTTGAAATTTCAAATGTGTGTACCAAAGATATTGGGATTATAAAGTTTTGGTTTTTGCGTAAATTTAGGAGTTGGCTATGGCAACACAGTCCTATCTATCAGTGATGTCGCAAACATTTGACCTTCTCGATCTATCTGTTTCGTTTGCAGCAAAGTTTAAACAATATCGGAAAGGGACAGTTTGAAAAATTGGATAACTCATGAACAATTCAAAATCTAATCTTTATATTCTTTTACATTGCGAACACTCCCTTTACGTTAAATGTTTGAATATGAAAAATATCGGAATCAACTAAGTCTGACAAATCCCTAGAAACTAGACAAACCGTCAAATTTTTGCAACAATGCATTACTGGTATGACTGTGGGACCTCGTAGCTCCTCTGTTTTCCTTTATGCACAAGTAAGTACAATTATGTACAAGTATAAGAAAGACAAAATTAACCGCGGGTACATATTATAAATTAAAAACATTTTTGTTCTTCTCGTATAGCTCTTCAATCAAGGGAGTCATGATTAAAAGGATAAAAGGCTAAATGAAGGACTAAAAGAATGAAAGAATGATTAAGAACTGTTCCTGTATTTTTTCTTCTGGAACTTTCCTTTCCCACTCCAGCCTAGACCTACCCTCAGCAATCATATCTCTGAATTAATGACTTGTAAACTTTTTTTATTGACTATCAAGATTATACAGAGCGTCTCATACCATAGATTATCTCCAATCTTTAACACCAAAATAAATCCTTAATACTCGAAAAACTTTTTTCGCAAAAAAATTCTTATATAAGCCTTATGTTATTTTTCAAAATGATTCATTCTAATGAAATTTTCTAATTAGTCCCGAAAATCGTAATTTAGACACGTTCTTGGTCTAATATGATGTGGGACACCCTGTAGATTTTTTTTACTGAGATTCTAAATGGTGTTTTTGTTGGTTATTAATTAGCAATATTATTTTAATTGTATTCTTTTATTTACATCATCTAAACTATTGCAATATTGACATATTTTTAAATTTTTTTATAAGTTTAATGTACTTTCAGTACTTAGAAATTATAATTTTTAATCTTTTCATTATATTTCATGAAAGATTTAATTTTGTAAATTTATTTGTTTTATCTTCTTTAGAATTTTTTATTATTCAAGATAATCAGTATTTTCATTTGTCTAGTTTGATTGTTTATTAACTTTTAACATGAAATTAATTAAAATATAAAATTATCTGTATTTTTGTATTTTATTTTTTAACATTTTTTTAAACATGTTTATCAAATCAAAGGGGGACAAGAAACGAGCGCCCCCCCCTGTTTGCACCCTAAATTAGCTCACATTTAACATTTTCAGAAAAACCGGGTTAAAAACCCAAAAGTCTGAGACGGAATTTGCAAAGATGGCAATGGCCGATTTACAACGGTACCCTTGAAAGCTTTGTCTGATCAAGTATTATTTAGATATCAATGTTTTTGTTTATTTAAACTGTTTATTTTCATTTGTGGGTTCTCTGATAAGTTACTTGCGCATTTCTTGTTCATAAGATGAAGCAATGGAGAAACTCACAGAAACAAAAACTTCTGGAGTCCACAATTTTTATCAGATTAAGGTTTCAAGGGTACCGTTGTAAATCGGGCTGCGCCATCTTAGTATGAAAGTTACACAAACAGTCCCTTTAAAAGTAAAAAATAACTTGAAATTGTTTAACTAAAAACTATCATTTCCGTAATTAAAAAAATCCTTTAAAAATGTATTTGACCTGTAATTATGTCCGTCCAACCATTTTGTAAATGTTTTATTAAATCCATCAGGTCCGACCTAAAATATTTAAAGAAACTAAACCTTGGCCCCAAACTCTATATCTCCCATGTATCTTTGCAACCCGATGTCGTAGACCTTTGATATTTCATATCTAAGAATTTTGTTAAATCAAAAGGTCTAAATATCAAAGGCTTAATTAAACCATCAGGTTGCAAAGATATAGAGATTAGAAAATTTGAGTTTGTGGCAAAAAATCTAATTTTTATAATAATTCGAAATTGTTTGAAATATTCACGGTGTTCTTGAATTATTTCGAGTTTAATAGATATATAAAAAAATTTATATATTTTTTAAATATATAAAATATATAACCAATTCTCTCAACATTGTCTAATTGANTTCATTTTTCAAATTTTCAAGTCATTCACCTATTCATTTATAAAATTGTGAAGTAATTCATCTATTCATTTACCGATTCATTTATTCATTTATCTTTTTACTTAGCAATTTGTTCCGGCATTCATCTATTCATAATTACCAATTTATTTATTCATAAATCTATTCATTTAACAATTTGATCAAGTTTTCATCTATTCATTTACCAATTTATTCATACATTTATCTATTCATTTATTAGGTTATTCAGACATTCATGAATTCACTTATTAGTGTATTTAGACATTCATCTATTCATTTATCAATTCATTTAACAATTTCATTTATTTTTCAATACCTATTTAGCTAGGTTTTCAATCATCAATGCTATAATCTAATCTAATCTGTTTGCGTAATTTCCATTTAATTAAAATATGTTTCCTCCAATCGTCTGATGCGACGTCGAACTGCATTTTCTCCATAACCACAGCTTCCCGGATATTCTTGGCAGCTGATGCCGCGTCTATCAATCTATCAACCTGGACAAATCAGCTGTGCAGAGAAAAGTGTAATGCAGCGAAATATTTAAAATCTTCAAATGAAATTTTGAAAAAAATTTAAATATTATTTTAACAGTAAAATTTGTCTCTCGTCATTGCTTCCTGTTTTTGCAATAGTACCCATGATCTTTTACAAAATTCTTAAAATTTGGTTTGTGTTTAATTTCGGGCCATATTCACAAGACATCCATTGGCATTGTTTTGAAGTCTGCTTTGAAACATTCAAGTTGTTTTGCAACATCATGCAAATTAACCAAAACGATTTCAAAACGATCTTACCAATCGTTTTTGAAAATTGTTTTTTGTTAATGTCTTTGAATTTATGAAAATGAAAAAAAAATATGGAAAATGAGCGATGATTTTGAGAACGAAAGCAATGATTTTTTTTTAAACGACTGAAAAAAAACACGAAAGAAAATTGGTCTTTTACTAACGATGAACGAACGAAATGAAAAAAACTAACGCGCCCATCTCTAATCCTGATCATTTACCTGATCCTTGCATTGTTTAATCCTTATCCTTTACCTGATCCTTGCATTGTTTAGCAACTTTAGATCCTTTACCTGATCCTTGCATTGTTTGATCCTGATCCTTTTCCTGATCCTTATTGCTTAATCCTGATCCTTTTCCTGATCCTTGCATTGTTTAATCCTGATCCTTTACCTGATCCTTGCATTGTTTAGCAACTTCAGATCCTTCAACTAAATCCATTACTACAGGGAACTCACCCTAATCAGTTACAGGAAATATTTGGAGATTGTAAAATAAAGGGAATATATGGAGATTGTAAAATAAAGGGAATATATGGAGATTGTAAAATAAAGGGAATATATGGAGATGGTAAAATAAAGGGAATATATGGAGATGGTAAACTAAAGGGAATATATGGAGATGGTAAACTAAAGGGAATATATGGAGATTGTAAAATAAAGGGAATATATGGACATTGTAAAATAAAGGGAATATTTGGAGATTGTAAAATAAAGGGAATATATGGAGATGGTAAAATAAAGGGAATATATGGAGATGGCAAACTAAAGGGAATATATGGAGATTGTAAAATAAAGGGAATATATGGACATTGTAAAATAAAGGGAATTTAAGTGAAATTTCAAGTGACCCTCCGTGCAAAGATGGCAATGCCATTTTCTCAATTAAAATTAATACTTTAATAAGTTTTTAAACCCTTAATCTGATTAAAAAAAAACAGAAGCATTGATTCATCTAATTCATAATTAATCAGACACAGATTTCAATGGTACCGTTGTACTTTAAACAACGCTTACAGTACGTTTAAGCCAAAATGAATTTAAATATTGCACTGCTTGAAATTTGAATTTAAACTTTCCCTTTCTTCTTAGAAAAACTTGATATTACTCAGTTTTGAAAATATATTTCGTTCTGTTAGCTATCTTTCTCAATTCTTGAATCTTGAGGTATAATATGGTTAAGCTGATAATTAAATTTTTTTCTAAAATGGGACTCTTTCAACTCTAAAACATGTTCCTTCAAATTTCGTATACACCTCTTGCTTTTAGGGTTAAAAAGGTAGCTTCAATGAAAAAAATGCTTAAAATTGAAAATGATTTTTCAAAATTTGTTTGAAATTAATCCTGTTTTCCTTCATGAGAGCATTGTTTTGTTTATCTGTTCTCTCAGGAGCATCAGGATGCAGCTTCTTCTCACGTAGACCATCAATTATAATGTCAGGAACAATCCCTTAATATCAATAATATTGTCAGGAACAATTTCTTAATATCAATAATATTGTCAGGAACAATTTCTTAATATCAATAATGTTGTCAGGAACAATCCTTAATATCAATTATTTTGTCAGGAACAATCCCTTAATATCAATAATATTGTCAGGAACAATCCCTTAATATCAATAATATTGTCAGGAAAAATCCCTTAATATCAATAATATTATCAGGAACAAACCCTTAATGTCAATAATATTATCAGGAACATCCCTTCATATCAATAATATTATCAGGAACATCTCTTAATATCAATAATATTGTCAAATTTAGAGTGTTTTCAAGGACAAGTCTTCAAGCCCCCTTGTCTAGCTAGCTGTAGACCCAATCAAAGAAACACTAAAATGATTACCTCGCATTTTAGCAAACTCTATTTCCAATTGAGATTCTTTAATGATGGCGGCCATAACAGCTGCAGTTGTTGATCTGAACAAAATAATTCCTATTAAAGGGACTGTAAGCGGTATTTCAAGTGACAACGCGGTACCCTTAAAATCAATTTGTCTGATCAAATATTATATCGTGAAGAAACAAACAGCTCCTAAAACCAAATTTTTTAAAACTGAATTAAATGAATTATCATAATTTTCTGACAGTATTAAGCATAAATCAGGAATTTATTTAAATATTTAAATGTATAAATAATATAGTCAATTTTAAATGATTTAAACATACATTTTTTTGTAGATATTTCATAGGTTGATCTTTTATAGAACTATGATTTTTGAAACCATTTCAATAAATTTATTAAATATGATGATTTATTAATTCTTTAAATATACAAATTAATTTTGATTATCATTAAAACCTTCATGAAATAATAGTTTTTTTTTTACAAAATCTGTTTAAGAGATTTCATTTTACGAAATCCTGAAAGATTTTTAAACATATTTGACGGCAACTTGATACTCGCAACTTTCTTTTCTTTACGCCAATACAGGGTGTCTAACAACTATGTTAATTTTATTTCAAACAATTGATAAACAATCTGGAGTATAGCTAAAATAGTTTTCATAAATGTCGATAATATTCTCTTTCTTGCAATCAACGAATATTTTCATCTTTGGAAATTGTTATTAAGCTAAACTTTTCAGTTAATGGTTAAATCTCGTAGTCAGTAGATAAGTTGTTTTTAAAAATGATAAAATCTTTTTTTATTTGACCAAGTCTTAACAAGTTTCATGAACAAGAATTCCTGAGCTGAAAACTTTAGAATGGAATATCCTTAATCCCGAGCAGTTACTTAATGTGGAGATTATAATCATGAGAAGAACACGTCTATTTAATCTGGAGATAAAGATCATCATCATCATCATCATCATCATCATCATCATCATCATCATCAGATGAGGATGAGGTGATGATGAGCAGATGAAGCATTGATCTCGATATCCACCATTCTAAAACTTTCAGCTCTGGTTTAACTAAATATACTTTACACTAAGAACCAGCAAACTGTGTAATCTTTAAATATGTTTAGACCACTTTAAAAAAAGATGCAAATCACAAAATTTGAATTAAAAGAAGAAAGAAACAAGACACTTAAAGGTAATTTCCTGAATGAGGCCCTTGGGCGTAAGAATGCAAAATATACAAAAATAACTACTTCATTATTTTCCATCCTGTTATTTATTCATCTAAAATTGTATTCACCTCGTGATACCGGCCTGACAGTTGAATATAACTGGAACAGCTGAACTGTGTCCTGAAATGAAACCTCTACATGAAAAACATTAAAAATGATATCGTCATTTTTCTTTCTTGAAAAGTGCTAAATTCTCACAATTTACCGGGAAACCAGATTTAAAAATAATCAATTTTTAGCTAAAAAATAAATTGATCAGAGAACGGTTTACACGGTACAGACATAACAATCTATAAATGAAATTGCGCTTAAAAACCCTCTAATGTTGACATTTTTTTGCTGTTTGAGTCTGCTGCAATTACTGCACGTGTATTGAGAATATTTTTCAAGGTAGAAATTTTATTTTAAGCGCTTCTTAAGAAAAAAATAATATAATTTTCTTCCCTGTGGTTATTATTCATTTAGAGATAAACCTTTTATTTGACCAAAGACCCCACCCCCACCCTTGAAGCTGAATCTGTATGGAACTACCCTTACTACCCCAACTACCTTCAGTTTTTAAAGAGACCCCACCCCAACCCAGTTTAGTTTCAAGGTATAAGAGTCGGTTAGGAGGTAGATAGGTAGGTAGATAGTTAGGTAGGAAGGACTACTGACTAACCTGGTACATTAACAAGACTACAAAGTTTAGTTTCAAGGTGTACGAGTAGGTTGGGAGGTAGGTAGGAGGGACAACTGACTAACTTGGTACATTAGCAAGACTACCCAGTTTAGTTTCAAGGTATACGATTAGGTAGGTAGGAAGGTATATAAATAGATAGGTAACCTGGTACATTAGAAAGATTACCCAGTTTAGTTTCAAGGTATACGAGTAGGTTGGTAGGTAGGTAGGAGGGACTACTGACTAACCTGGTACATTAGCAAGACTACCCAGTTTAGTTTCAAGGTATAAGAGTAGGTTAGGAGGTAGATAGGTAGGTAGATAGTTAGGTAGGAAGGACTACTGACTAACCTGGTACATTAGCAAGACTACCCAGTTTAGTTTCAAGGTATACGATTAGGTAGGTAGGAAGGTATATAAATAGATAGGTAACCTGGTACATTAGCAAGACTACCCAGTTTAGTTTCAAGGTATACGAGTAGGTTGGGAGGTAGTACTTCTAGCAGCGTTCTTCCAGCCAGCTTTCTCATAGACTAAACATACAAAAAAAAAATTTCATGAAGAAAATAATTTAACTATTTTATTATAATAAAACATATTTATATAAAATTATTCTTAATAAAATATCTGAATTGTATTATTATGATAAAACTATATAATTTGTTCATCATTTACTTATAAAAACTTTTTATTATGAAATTATTAGGTTATTCACATTAAAACTATTTGATTATGCAAAAATTAAAAATATGTGTAATGTGTATATATATATGGTGCCTATAGCCGCCCAAACGGCTGGACCGATTTGGCTGAAATTTCTTGTAGATACTCAGTGGTGGCCGGGGAGTGTTATAGGCTATAAAAAATTTTAATTTTTTGAAAAAAATTTTTAAACATTTTTTTTCACGGCCAACGCTGGGCTCTTCAGCTAGTCATTATTATTATTTAATTTTTGTTTAACTGAAAATATTACCAACCTTGCACTTCTGATCCCCCCTGGGTAAATCACTGAACATCTTGTAAGAAAGCTGGTTTATTTTGTTAATCACCTTAACACGATATTTTAAAAAATATGTATTTTATATCCAAATTCAGTGAGAACCAAAAAACTGAAGCATAGGAAGCCGACATTAAAGCAATACTGAAGTGCATTTGATGTTGTTACAAAGCAAAAAGTTTTACTAGTAATAAGTTATTAAATCACTTGGTATCTGTTTACATTGCACAATTGCTATGTCTCATGTTCATAGGACTATTTACAACTTGTGTCTAAAGTCGATTATTTTATATTTTTTTGGTCTCACTGCATATCAATATAAAAGTTATCGGCTAAACTCTGTAATTAGAATATAATATCAATGAATTTGAAAAGTTGTATTAATTTTAAATACGTAGTTTTGAAGGGTACCATTGTGAATCCAACATGCTACTTTATTAATAAAAAG